ATTTTATCCAGGAAAAACGAGACATTGGGTAAAGACTAAAAAAATAAAAAGTAAATAATAATAAATAAATAGATCTCGTTATATTTGATCAAGGAATCGAAGTATTTTACATTTCATTGTATTTCGGTCGCGAATATTTTACAAGCATCGTCATAATGGAGTTGTAAACAAAGCTTTTTATTATTTCTACGAAAAAGTCGCAGTTGCAGCTGCATTTTATTATCAAACTGAAATTTCGAAATGATTATCGCGCAGCCTAATCTCGCAGTCCAATTGCGTACACATTTTCAGTTGAATTGTGTTTCATTTATCGTTCCTAATTGTTTGACAAGTTCAACAAATTTTGTGTAATAATTACAATTTCATTGTCTTGAAAACGATTGACGATTAGTTATAACTTCATAAATACAGCAGTACGTTTCTCAACATATATTGAGTTGGGCGAATAACACCACGCCATTCCCCATTCCCAACTAATGCGCTTCTTTCAGGAATTTTCGTGACCGTGCGCGATGTCACGATTAGAGTCAGTGTTTTTACGTATCAAACTTTTTAAGAACTCAATAACTCTTGCTAAATACAAACGCGAATGTAGAGTCAGTGTTTGTTCGCCGATGGAAATTCAAACGGACGCGTTAATAATCTTTTATTTTTCATTATTTTTTTTTTTAATGTTCGTTACCGGTATTAGAGTCGACACTGCCAAGAACAGACCCAAGGCTGCTCTGCAATCCAAGAACGTAAGTATGTAAGTACGTTTACGCACTGTAATTTAATTAATTTCTTTTTTTATTATTCAACGTGTTACAAATTTTTCATAGCCTCGCTTTTATTCCGTAGATCCGACAAGTCTGATGGCATTGAAGTCAGTTCTTCACTGGACAGTATTCATCTCTGCGCTAGAAGTCAAGAATGTAAGTACGTTTGCATATTTTAAATGAATTAATCTTAAACAATCGTATGAATCGCATAAAATTAGACTCTTCAAATATTTACTACCTGACGATATAACAGTAGTATCGAACGTTTTGTTGCAGATATTCTACAGCCTTCATTTTCCCATGGATCCTACAACTGTGCTACTATTCAATTCAGCCTCCAACTGATGACAGTCTTCACGATGACATCCTCTGGGCCATTGCAGCATCGTTCTCCGCATCATTGGTGAGTCGCATGCATTTTGGTTCCTCTGGTCATTCAACCATGTCGTAGGACGAAAGGTCTGAAACGACACGGATGACTGGTTGTATTACGTAGAATTTTTCTTATGAGCATAGTGACCTCGGGTATTTATTATACTCGAGAGTAGTGACAAAATTTCTTTGTATTTTATTTATCAATTCAGGATAGGTTTTCTTTCACTTCGCGTTTTTTGATCAATAATAAGAGAAACATGAGTAGTTAGTATGGGTACATTGGCACATATAATATTAGTGGCATAAATCATATAATATTGACTATTAGTTCCTCCTTACTATAGCCACTTGTAAAATCAAAATATGTTTAGTATGGTTATTTATAAATAATAGACACGAATATGTGGTTATTTTGTAGTGGAGAAGTCGAATGCCCTTCGACTTCGTTATTACGAAAATTATAATTAACATATAGCAATAATGATTATGTATTGCTATTCATTGTTCCGTCAATAAACAAGTGCCAATTCCATTCTTTGCCTTTGATAATATCCAGATATTTAATTCTTTGACTCGTATGCAATAAATCTGAGTCATTTTAAAATATAATAGTATCACTGTTACATTCCGTTAATGCAAAAATGCATTAGACATTAAGTGCAAGAAAACATTTCGCGACAGATAGATTTTAGAACCAAAGTAATAACTTTGTACTTTTATGCTTTCGAATATGATGTACTTTGGTGAAAGAATCGTCTGAGGTTTTATTACATTTCCATTGTTATATAAATTAAAGTCAATTATTTCATCACGTCGAGTCCTTGTCTTTCTTTTTTTTGATAAATAGTTTTCTTATTGATATGAATATTCTCTTTCAGTACTGAAATTTGAATAATTTGTTAAATTTGTAAAGTAAAGTGATTGCAAATGGAATGAGAAAATACAAGATGAAAGAACGTTAGTCCGTTAAATAAAATACCTACACAATAATCAGTTTTCTAGCTCAGGATTTTCAGGTTTAACCCCTGCCGTGTTCATTGCCAGGAACTCATTCACGTGCCCAGGTGCTACTTGAGTGGGTGAATGGCGATGGGCATGATGACCGTAGTTCATAAGGTTATGACAATGTTTTAGCGGCTGACGACGCGTTAGAGTATCGTGCACGACGTGTTTTCCACATTGTGTGTCTGTGGTTAGGATGTGGAATTGCGTCGTTCGTAAATTTCTTTGGAATAGAAAAATGTAATCTGCTATCAATTGCAGCAGATTATTGATAGCATAAACGCGATGGAAATATCAATCTTGCTATCAATTGACGATAATGTTATTATTTCTCGTACCTCGTGTCTTAACGACATTATGCTCTTTAACATAATCGTATCTGTCGAATGATTAATATCGCGCGTTACGCAAGGGTCTCTAGCCGTCGTCAGCCGATTTCAGGAAATGGTACGTAAAGTTAAAGTGTGTTTGTTGCCAAACTCGGGTGTCGGGGGCGTCCCGGGACGCTTACTGTAGTGTAGGATCTTTGCGCCTGGGTGGCATGTGTGAGAACCGTGGAGTGTGGTGTGTTGGAATGCTTGATTTTTGCCATTTTTTAAATATAGGGGGAGTTAGGTAGGTAGTATACTCTGGTGTGTCTGCTAATTATAAGTAGGTAGGGCCGGGCAGGTTGGCACAGTCTTAGGTCGGGCAGGCGCGTTTCGCGTGCACAACCTGTTTCAGGAAATGTCATTTGAATAGTCGACGGTGAAGCTGGCACGTTTGGGGGTTGCCATTCGTCACTAGCTTTGCCTATCGATTTTTTCAAATTTTCGTCGCGGTCGTGGTCGTGATCGAACGTATATGTGCTCGAGTTTCTGCACGTGTGCACGAACAACGGTCACTCCGATCGTTGCTCGTCCATGTGAGTCTTGATTAGCTTCGCGATTTGTATTTTTTTTTTTTTTTTTTTCGTTTAGAGAATCTCGAGCCTAGATATAAGTTTCAGCGGGCATTGCGCCCGAAGAAAGAAGAAGAGGCTATTAGGTACCCGACAAACTGTCACGAAAAGGGTGCCTAGGAATGGCTTCCTATCCTTTGGATGAGAAGTCATTCTTGTCACTACTTTGTCACTATGCTCTTATTTTGTAGTATGTAGTAGTAGTAATAGTAGTTTGTTTACTGGCCGATGTTTATCGGTCCATCATCCTGTTTGGGCAAATCGCGATTTTTGCAGTTAGTGTCGCGAGTAATTAATCACGGGTTGATTTAGTGTTGCGAATTATGAGACCGCGATATTGTTTGATTTCTTTTACATGAATTTTTATTTTTTCATGGATACTAATATTTATTAACATTATAGTGTTGCGACTAGTATTAATCGCGAATAGTCAAAAGAATCAAATATCTTTTTCTGCATATACATATTTTATCTTTTACTGATTTCATTTTAAGAATTAGTGTTGCGCTTTAATGGAATCGCGGTTTTTCTGATTGCTTTTATTATTAGTGTTGCGCTGAAGAATGATCGCGTTTCTTGAAGTAGTGTTGCGAATATAGAATGCCCAAAATTTCACCACTGATATGGTGGAAATCTGTTCCTGTTCCTGGGAATCACCTGTTGCAGCTGCAAGAGCTGTATATGGGTGGTGATACATGAGCAGCCTGAACCATGGCTGCCCTGGATTTTTCGACATTAGTGTTGCGAATTTTTTTGAGACGAGTGCATAAATTAGTATATATTAGTGTTGCGTTAACAATTATAATATCTTATTATTAGGATCACTTCCGCGAGTTCCCTGCCCTTTTTTATTTCCCTTTTTTTGTTTTTTTTTTTTCTTCAATGTCCCCTTCTTTGTAAATGTTATATTAATTATTATTTTAAATATAAAGCACTCTTCGCGGTTGACTTTGAAAATTGTCCGTTATCAGACAATTTAGTAAGTTAGTGTTGCGAAATTGCAGTTTATTTATTCCACTCACGGTTTGTTTCCCGGGTTCATATCGAGTGGAAATATTTGTTTTTGTGGCTATTTTGGCTGCCACTGCATTTTCTTTTTCAGCACCCTTTTTTACTGAAATATTTGTTAAAGAAGGTACTGCTGCATATGTCTGTTTTTCATTCCTTTTTCTTTTTTTTTTTTTTTTTATCCCTTTTTAACCGTTCTAATTATTTCAGTTACATTTCAATGATTTTTAAATGTTTCATTCTATCCTTTTTCCAATAATTCTTAATATTATTAATTTTCGAATTTTTATTTGTTTTAAAAAAAATTCAATCGCGATGCGCCTTTATTTTGCATAATAATCGTATTGTCTCTGTAATTCGACTCTTCGTAGATCTAATAAAAGCAAAATTTCTCTTTTTCGTGTTCGGGAAAATTATTGAGTTTTCTTTATAAATATAAATGCAAATTAGTTGCGGCAAAAGTGTGATTATTTCAATCGCATGTTTTTAACAAAATATGTTATTGAAAGTCTTGTTAATATGTGACGTATCTTCTTTCAGGAATCATTGTTTTGTTCTGTTTCCCCAACTATTAATCCAGTATTTAAGTTTGTTTCAGATTTATTAATTTACAACGCTTTCATATCACCATGTTTAAAACCATTACAAATATTTGAATTTATGTGAGTATGTCAGAGGCTCAGAGATGATATAATATTCCTGAAAGGAAATGATTTGAAGTGGAATGGTGTTTGAGCCTCATTTATTTATTTATTATTATTACCTCAATTTTTATATATAATCATAGAAATTATTATTAATTATTGTTTTATTATCGTCTTTTGCAGGGTGTTGTGTTTCAGGAAGCATTATGGTGACAATGGAATCAATCTGAGTGTTTGAAACTCCCATAAACTGTCCCATTTCCGTTTCTTCTGATTTAATCCTTAGTTTCAGACGTAAATAGGATGTCTGAAATTCTCTCGAGATGTGTGTCTGGTTGGTTATATAAATACTCTTTAGGTGTGTAATAGGGTGGTTGTATAAAAGTCTATAGATTTGTGATAAGTGGTCCTATAGAAATCCATCTGATATTTGATAGGAAAGCGTGAAAAATACTCTTGACCTCCCTATGGAATTTCCTATTGGAATTCCAAAATATCTGGATTACTCAAGATTGGCAACCATATTTTTTTTTTTCTGTGCATTCATTATCTTTGGATTTTCTTTGTTGGTTGCTATTGTTGTTGGTTGTCTACTCTGAAATTAATTATAATTTATGGTTGTATATTTTCATGTTAAATTATGATTATGATCAAGTTCGTTGTAAGTTACGATCAGTGCCAACACATTAATTTTTAAGTTAAGTAAAATTTTTAGTATTAAGTAGTATTAGGTAGTATTAAGTGGTATTGGATAGTATTAAGTAGCATGGGGTTGTGTTAAGTAATATTGGGTAGTATTAATTAGTATTGGGTAATATTAAGTAGTATTGGGTAATATTAAGTAGTATTGGGTAATATTAAGTAGTATTGGGTAATATTAAGTTGTATTGGTTAGTATTAAGTAGTAGTGGGTAATATTAAGTAATATTGCTCTTTGTATTACACTTACACTTATTTTTATCCTTTTAATGCACATAATTTATCTCACATAATTTATCTGTTTCTGCTATGTTTAATTTGTTTTCTGTTTCCAGGTTTTACTTATCTTTTATTTCCAGGTTTAATTCATCTTTTATTTCTAGGTTCAATTTATCTTGTACTTCTAGGTTTAGTCTTCCGCGTCGGCTGTTTGCTTAAATTCTTTTGATGTTCGATTTACACAGCGATCAAAAATTGAACGTTTTGCAAACGTGCATCAAAAACGAAATATAGTTGAATATTAGTAGTTTTTCGCAAAAGGTGGGTGGATGGGTCGTGGTTAGGGTGGGTCTCCACTCGCAGCACCTCCTCGTGGTGGGACCTGGGCAATCGTTATTATTTGACATATAATTTCTTATTGTATCACTCTATAGTTGTGTCATCTATAGCTAATAGTTGTGATACAAATATAAATTATATAGCAAGTAATACGAGCTAATTGGCTGCGATCGTGCTGTCGTAGATTATCACATATTAGGTTAAAGGCGAGTGATAGGTTAACATTCCTCTTCTATTTATATTATATACACATAATTTCCATATGTAGATTAATTAAAATAGCGTTCATTGAGGTTTATACCATTTATCTACTATAACTCGTGTAAGTTATAATAAAGCAAAGTAGCGAGTATAGCGACAAAAATAATATTAAAAATAGTATAAAAAATACTGGTATCCTCTTGCTGAAAATCCTGATTAAAATTCGAAATTAGAGAGGTAAACCGTGTCTCCTAATATCGAGTCTAGATTTCTAATATTATATTTAGTTAGTTAGATATTTTATAATAGATATTTAGTTAACATAGCTTGGGAATAATAGTTTTCTTATAGTTCTCTCAATTTTTCCTCGGTTTTGTCGTACCCTGTGCAAAATTGAGTAGTGTGACTGCAAATCGTTTAAAAATTTTTCTTCAAATTAACCTTTTCTAAATTTACTGTTTGCTACATTTTGGCGCAGTGCGGCGCTCAATCTCCATTTCCCGCCATTTCTGTTCAGTTTGCTTTTAGTCGTGCACGTGCTTTGATATTTTCGTCCAAATATTAGTTTAATTTTAGTTATTAACTAAGAAGTCCAGGAACTTTAACTGTAGAAGGTATTTGCATATTTGTGGTATGTGAAGAAATATGTTGACGCATTCTATGAAAAATGTTTCTTCAGAATAATTACAAAGGTAAATCAATACTTAATATTTCAAAGAACCGTAGAAACTTCTAGTATTCTTTCATTTGAAGATAGTACCCTTTTCTTTTTTTGAGTTTTAGGATATCATCAAAGCACTATGAAAAATTTTTGAGGTACATTTGCGTGTAAATTCTTAGTACCAATTTCCTTATGTTATGTCAAGTTTATATACTAGTTTGTATTGTACATTATATTGTATACTAGTATATTTCCTGCAAATATTGTAATAATAATAATTCATCGCTGAATATAGTTATCTTTAAAGATACTATATTTCTTTTATTCGTTGTAATATTAAATTTTGTATGCATATATAGTTGTATGCTAGCTTTATTTTAAGTTTCTTATTTTCCAACTTGCTAAGTATTAGTATCTTTGTTAATATCTGAAAATTGGTGGAAGTATGTAAGTAGTTTCTTATTTTTTGTTTGAGTTTTATGTATAGGTCTTTTAGTTTCTTTCTTGTAAGTATAATCTTCTTGAACTTACCTTTAATTCTTCTGTATATGTTACAATTAGCTGCACTCATATATTATTTCTGGCTTCAATTTTGTATCATAATTGGCGTTTTAACCTTTGTCTGTCTTCTTTTCCATCATTAACTGTCCTCGCCTTGAATTCAAAAATGATATCGGTTATTGCTTAAAGATCAATATGTGTAGAATAGTAATGGACATCAAAACAAAGTCAAAGAAATTAAAACTGTCAGATGCAGGAATGATAGCATAAAAATTAGATTTCTTACTTTATAAATTGAGTAGAAATGAGGTTATTCAATTGAAATTCAAAAACTTTACAGAGGTTATGTACAGAGGTTATTTCATTTCACGCTTACCTTGTTCCTTGAGATTTCATTTTTCTCATATTGATTTTTCTATTATCAATAATTTATTCATTCATTATCAAAAATATTCTATAACACAGATCTTGAAAAATGTGTTTTCATCCAGCCAGTACAATGGAATACTACTCTAAAGCAAAATGTGATTACTGTAAACTGACCCAAAGGCCCTTGAAATTTCAATATAGATATATATAGTTTATATAAAATTTATTCAGACAACAATACGTGTTCTATAATTATTTTAATAAGAGGCAGACAGGACATTTACATGAAATGTAACGAAGGAAGCTCGTTTCAAAGGACATAATTACAATCGTAGCGTTTATCAGAAGAGTGATCATTTCGTGGTCTAATTATACCCCCGTTGGCCCTTTTCCAATGTCAGGAATTTTTAGTAGCTCGTCGTTCATTCTAATCAGATTTTAAATAAAGATCGTACGATAGGAATACTCCACCGAAAAAGATTATCTGAAAGTTTCGTGACATAAAAGAATCTTTAATACATTCAGTATTTATCCTGAAAGTATATTTCAAATTAAATTCGTAGGACGGAAGAGTTGATTTACGCGACATTTTAATTTGCTATATTTTAAAAGAACAATTTTCATCGATATGAAACAGAAATTGTTGTAAACTATCTAAATTTATCGTGTTATCAAAACAGTTACGCGAAAATAATTACGAATCCATTATCTTTTTCTCAACAAACGTAATATTTATATATACCCACTTATCTCGAAGCGAAATCGTAACTCTTGACCCTCACTTGACAACCGCTAGGACTTTACGTGTTTCGTGGAGAAATACAGCAATCTGCCATATATATCCGAAAGTTCAGAGGTCACTGTCACTCAATTGTGTGCCTTCGCGATATTAAATTTATATCACACGAACATCCGTCGAGAAACTCCAAATTCTCTCGAATTTAATCCCCGACTCATTTCAAACTTGGTGAAGTGGAAGCCTCTTTGATCTTCGCGCACCTGCGGTGCATCTTAACCTTCAGTAAGACAATACCTTCATTTCCTGTAATTTTAACCAAACTGCACCAACTGCTTATTCCTATCGTGTTTCGACTATTTTAAAGTTGAACATACCTCGAAGAGGAATTTCAGGAGTCAATGCAATGCATTCATGGCACGTATCGGAAAAGCAGCATCGATCGTTATGCAAGAATGGCGCCGATTGGGCTTGCTTTATTTAAATTAATTTCCTCGTTAGTTTCGGTATTACCCATTGTATGTTTATGCATCTCCATCTAAAGATAAACCTTCGTTATAAGCGTCGCATTCTCTTATCGTACGAATGCGGATGATGTACGCTTTGCATTCGCAAAGATCATCTCTCTCATGATCGATGCGTATTAAAAATAGCCACCGACGTTTCGAATCGCTTCAATTTGGGCTTTTCATCGGTGCTCCTCGCCGATACGTCAAACTACCGGGAAATGGTCATCGTGAGTCGCTGCGGGGATCCACGCCCGCGCAATTATTCTTTCAATTGATTCTATGAGACCCGGTGAACCAATCGTGAAAAGAGGAAAAGGACAAGAGCTTGTCTCGATGGTAAATTGTAATTACTGAAATTACCCGTTGTTCCCTTCGTCGTGCCCTTTGGTACACGTCGACGTGTGCGACTCGGTCTACTTTGATTCGACAGGATGGTGGTTCGTTTTAAATTTCGTCTCGCCTTGCACCGAACATCTGCTTCTCCGAGCAGTTATTTGCATCTGGTGCCAACTTATGTTCCACAACTAACGAAACTGCACGTCGCGTGAGTCTACAATGTAATACGTATTATATGGCCGACACGAAGTTTCACGTGAACGTGATATTTTTGAGGATGTATAGAACAGAGGCAATAGAGGGAAGAATAAAAGAAGGACGGTGAAAGATCGCATTGAACAGGACGATTCCGATATGATGGATAACTAGGTCGACTATCACCACGTGAAATCTCGGTAATTTTTGATCTAATTCGAAACCAATCGGAAAGAATTCACAGTACCTTCAGCAGTGTTCGCTTAATGAACTTTGCATGCTCAATTTAATCGGCGTAATTGCCTTGCATAACTTTCGTTCTGATTTCTAAGAGCACGCGATTTGCTATTCGTCGGCGGTCTTCATTGATAGCGAGAGAAAGAAAAAAGCTACTCGTTAATGATCATAACACTACCTCCTCTGTCCGACATTTAATTAACTTCGTTTCGCTGTACTAAGAAACGAAACTGTGGCCCATCTATATTGCATCGAGAGCTAAACGTGTCTTTGAAAAACCATTTTCCCGGAAGTGAGTGATCTTAATCGGCTGCTAATTAAAGGTTAACTGTACATATTTTCTCTTAAGACAGCACGCGATTCAACGTTGCGAATTATTAACGAAACTTACAAAATCGACGTTTCATACGTTACCATAATATTTAACCCGGCTTAAGTTTTATGTCCAGTTCCCGGTAATAAATTGGATAAAAAGGACATCAATTATTGGTCGTCTCGTGGGCACATAATAGTTCGTTCACCTCGAGATAATTCGATGAACTTGTGGCGACCTCTATGCAGCGACGCAAATGCATATGTTCTGCTTTCTATTAGTATTTTTCTTCCTTCTTCCAATTTTTCTCACGTTTGAAGATATAGTACGTATAGCGAAATGAATCACGAAGTCTGCAAGAGAAAATCATTTTTATGAAGTTCAATGTATGAATCACGATATGATAAAGAAGTTTCTCCTAACTGGGAGAAACAGATATATTCGTATAGGGGCAGAGCAATGTCATAAGCTGCTTAGGTTATCGATTAAGATTAATACGTACCTCGAACTTGGATCAAATAATAAAAATAGTCGAAGCTGCATGTAAGAAGCTTAAAAAAAAAATTTGGTTATCGTGTCACCGCTTTTCCTGGATTCATTCCAAATCTTGGCTAATCTATGCAGAGTTGCACACCATTCACGCATAGAGTCCCTGTTCACTTTACCCTGCATCCTTGAGAGGAGTGCGTGTACGTAGCACACGCGTCGAACGTTTATCGTTGTCGTGCTTGAAATTATTTATCAGTGCGAATGGCGAATGTGCCGCGTTGTATACGAAAAATATATGTACGATGCATTATTTATCAACTACCTGCATACCGACGAAATTATGCTGCGTCCAATGTGTTAAGTACGTATTTATGCATTTACGCACGATAAATTTATACGTTTCGTATTGATTCTGTAACAGTATCGGGCGAAACGCTAATTACGGTATTTGTTATAGGACGTTTTTCTTACGTATCGTAAGCATTGTTTAAATATATCCTAGGGGATAAAATTCGCACGGTCGGTGTTGGTAGCGATAAAATTAAAATGAATTCTTTATCATTTTTCTTCTGAATGTTATCGTATAAATTTTTACCCCATCGTAGATTAGAAATGTTCATTTTCCGCTACTATTCCGCTTGTGTATTTATTTCCACGTTTAGCCAATTTATTTGTTATATGATACGTATACAGTCCTTATAGCTGATAAAATTATTTATATTACATGTATCTTTGTTATCCATTTTTCGTATAAATATAATTTCAAGGCTTAGGTCGGTGTATTTGAGTATTTCCCTTGTGTAGGTGTTCTGTGCATTATTATTATTTAATATTGCTTCGTATATCTCATATTATTGTTACTATACTTCATAAATCGAAAGGCAAATTATTTTTTAATAAAATTCCACTTTCTTACCTGAAATTGCAGTTTGTATCGGTCCATTCTACAGTCATCCGAAATGAATTTTACAATGATAAAAGTTCGTGTGTATAAAATAAATCCATGGACAATAGCGTCCCGAAAATATGGCGCCAAACAGACGCCAACTTCAAAACTCGGCGCAGACGCACTGGCAGGGGGCCCATCGATTGTAAACAAAACTGGAAGCGACCGCGTGGTTTGGATCAGTGAGGCGACGACTCTCGCGGTCGAAGGAGGTAGTGGAGGTGTTTTTTCCACTTTTCCACATCTTCAGGTTCGATTGGAGGATTCGCAGGTTCGCACAGTTAATTCTCCAGCAGTATCTTCTAAAGAAGAGACGAGAAGAACGTGTCGAGCTATTGACAAAGCGATTTCACTTGGCATTCGGTGACCGAGGTTTGAAGGGAATTGGAAAGCACAATTTCGTCGACAGTCGGTCAAATCGTTTAGGATAGTCAGTCGATGAGGCACAAGTTGAATGCGCAAAGATCTGTGTAATTGTCTTCTTACCGCCCAACGAATGACGAAGAGTGCTCCAACTGGCGTCTCCTGGATGGATCTCTGAAGTTCGGTTGCACCCTTCCACTTTCTTCACTGGTAAAATTTTTCGATGTTACTTTCGACCCGAAGGGCTGACGAGAAGATAACTAATCTAGGCGTAGCAACTGGTTTCACAGAGAATTATTTCGGTTGTCCTGCTTGATCGACGAACGCGACTCGTCGGACCGCTGTGTCGGCTGTGGCCCGCTGCACATGCAGCCTGACTTCAATAAGGGCCCGGGACTGCAGGTAGTCTTACAAAAGGGTCCAGCTACAACGTTGTCAAGTTTCATGAGAAACTAGAGGCGGTGACCTGTGAAACAGCAACAGCGCCTGTTGAGAAATAAGAGGGCGATACGATAATAGAGTACCAAAGGTACACGATAACTGCATCGGTACACACGCTGAAGATCAACAAAACAGCCTAGGAAATTGTCGTCGCGGAATAATGCTTTAGCGAGGAAAATTTCGAGTCGATGTATCTGCGGTAGTCGCCATTTGCATAGAGGAAAAGGAAAGATAGGCGAGCACCGTGAGAATCGACGATCGCTGGAGATCAGCGTGGATTAGAGTGAACGATCCATATAAACAATGAGGTCTCTGAATCGTTGCATCGTCGATTGTGTCTTCGAGACTTCCGTTTGAGACAGGCCGCGAATCGATTCAGATACGAACATTACTCGGCTGCGATTTAGATACAATACACACGTGGAATTATCGATCGACGTTTTATACGAACTGTAAAACACGAGAGCCCTGAAAAATGTCGCTTACCTCGATGGAGGTTTGGAACGAAACCTTGTCGATGATGAATTCGACGATGAACTCGACCCTAATGGCACCCAGCGTAGTTCTGAACCCGACAAAACGGCACGTGACTTTCGCCTCTCAGGTGGTGCTCACCCTTGTGTATATAACCGGCGTGATCGGCAACGTGTCGGCTCTAGTCATTCTTTTTCATCGAGATAAGGTAATAACGCTTTCATTGCACATTACGATTAACTAACTGGTCGGGATAGTTAGAACAGTCAGCTTTGGAACAAATTCGAATGATATATAAACTTGTCGATAATTTCTGCTTGATAATAAGATAAACCAGAGAAACTATGTCTAGTTATAGTCATTATCATGGGATAATATATCGAGGTTTTCCAAGAAACATAATTGATTGTCGATAGTAATCGCTGCAGATACCGTTATCTGCACCTCCCGGCAAATATTTATGCATGAAAATGAAATAGCATACGATCTAATGAGTATTAGATGCAATTGGTCTGAGAAGAACTTGAGGACAAAAAGTAACTACGAATTAAACGTATCAGAGAGCAAGAAATATTGGAAGATATTCTCGGAATAATTATAATAACTGCTTGGTAATTGGGATTATCGTTAAGTAATCGAATTAAACTGTTGCAGAGGAGAAATCGAAAACACTTGCTGATGCTACGCTGCTTGGCGATCAACGATCTTGTCGCATTGTTAGGGATGTTGGTGCAGATGTATATCACGATCTATGTGGGCAGCGTGATGTCCACGAGAGGATTTTGTTCCCTTCGTATCGTATGGAGGCTCTTTGGTTTGTTCAGTGGTTGCGTAGCCATCGTGATGGCAGCTGAAAGGTGGCTAGCCTTGACCAGGCCCTTCGTTTATCAGAAGGTAAGTCAAGATCCTTGATAAACCTTTTCAAATGACCGACCAGCATTGACTTTGGTATTGACAGAGGCTTATCGTTCGACTTTCCCTCTATCTCATATTCTTCTCTTCGTCGTTAAGTCTCGGTTGACACTCTCGAACTATTTGGTGCCAGATCCCCGGTTGCATAGGATTAGTAATATCGTCTCGATTGTATTCAAATATTACCAGAGGACAACGTACACGCATGATACGAAGGGTCAAGGTAAATGCTTAGACGAAAAAAGGTTTTGTTTTTCCCAGTTGGCCATTGATATTCAAGATAGCTTGTTCTCGCGTTGAACGTGAACCCGCAGGAGGCGCCAAGCTCTTTTTACAGCCATTGCAGACAGATAAATACTACGATCTTGGAAATGTTCGAGTTCTCGCAACTGGACAAGTTTTTCTAACGAATTGCCAATTTTCTGCCAGTCTTGGACTTATCTGAATAGTAATTATTAATTAATTTACACGGTCGATATCTCCACGAATTTTCTCAATGTTCTTTCATGAAATTTTGAAAGATATTTCGAGTATACCAGTCGATAGCAAACAGTCGATAGATCACACGATTTGATAAAGAAACTACCGATTGTAAGGGAAAGTATCTAAATCAGATAACAGATGGTTGCACACAAAATAGTTTTTGACACTGCAATCTGTAAACGAAGCCGAGGGGCAAAATCGGTCGAGGAACAATTTATTACCAGAAATATTACTAGGATTGTTATTCATAGGACTAGTTGGAACTTTCATGCGTTGTAGAGATAAACGGGAGAAAAATACCATAGTAACGTAGACGCACCAGCCTCATAGGTTTTATCTCCACGTGATAAGGGTCACGTTACATAGAGCATACTCGAAGCATGGACCTGACCCATTTTTCAATAGACACCATTGGCTAGAATTGGTGTGAATATCAACTGTAAATGACAGTGCTGCTTAATGTCTTATTGACATTGTTATAACTCGTGCGCTATTGTACCAAAATGTTTACGCGTGGTTATTAATGGAGAACGTGTCGTCAAACTTTTCAAGCTCGTCGCTATTACATACGCTGCGATACTTCTGCGATATTGAAAATTTATATCTTACAAGAATTTATATCCTCCTCGTATCTTTTTCTGAAAATCTATATCTTTCTTTTTATAGATTAAAAACGAATAAAAATTGCTATCTGTGTAAGTACAACTTCGTCTTTATATTATCACTTAAGGAAGTGGACTCTAAAAAATTCAGTCGTAAGAACTGATTAGAACTGTGAGGTTACTCATTGGAAATATTGAATCGGTATTTCTGACTGCGGCTCTTTCATCAATATGAATAAGCGCAAATATTTTTCGATAAGAAAGTCTGAAAAATGATATAAGCTATTTTCTTACTGGGAAGCAACGCTATCATTAGCCCCTTTTATTCCGAAGTACCGATCATTGAATTAGTACGTGCTTGGTTAACAGAATCGACGATAGGGGAGACATTCGCATTGAAATTCTTGGGAACCGCAAGTCGTTGTATCTACGCTATCAGGATAGACAGCACGCGAATATTAACACCGTCACTTTGATCCAACGATCTGTTCGAATCAATCTACGACCACTTAAAACGCAGCGGAAACAATTATTTAACAGGGTACGAAGCAAGTGCTTCTAATGCATTCGGTTTACCAAAATGTACACCCTGCTTCCTTCTGGCGTTATTCTATTAGGTCCTGTGGGTGAAAGAATGAGAAGAGAGTCCTAAAAGGAATGGAATAAGAGGAATGCAACAATGAAATAAGAAAAATTTATTTTTGTAGATAAATTTAAAAACGATCATTTGGTTTAGCCTAATCACGGTGTGTTTAATATTAAATCTTCGCTTATTCTTTAAACGAAATTTTACCTGTAGCGCCATGCTTGTAACAAATTATCTGCAGACTTAAAAAATAGAATTTTTGAACGATATTTCGCTATTTTTTGGTACAAACTCGGGATTGTATGAATTACAGAACCATGATTAAAGGTCATGGGTCAGTGAAGGCGCGCGGATGTTGAGTTTCCCACGATAATGATAACAAGTGATAGCTTTGGACAGGCATTAAACTATTTCTGAGAAAATGGAGGAACTACGTGACCATGGACAGCTAATTATTTCGCGTCTAACAAACATCTAACAGACTCAGACATTTATTTTCGTGCTGATACCATGATCACGTTCGGTCTGGGAGTGAAACATGTGCTCCTTATCGTCGTTGAATACAATTGAACTCGTTGCGTCGCGGTGAAAAATTCGTGACCCATATTGTGACCCAAATATGGCCACGCGCCTATGCTGTTTTCAATCATTACGTGTCGTTCATTCAATGCTTCACGCTAGGTATTTAAATATCTTCGATGTCTTCGTACATTGTTTGATTTTTGACGCGGCAATCGGTGAATTTCACTGGCCTCGATTTCAATTAAGCGTTGAGAAACTTTGACGATGAGCCTTCCTCTTCCGGATTATACTTTTCGATTAAAATTTGCACAAATGGTACACAATTCCGTTGTTCACATAGGGAAATATTTCTGTGATATTTGTTTTAATAATAATCATAAATATTCAATTTTTAGACATCGTTGTATAATAAATATTTAAAAATAATAAAATATCGATTTTATCTAAGCGTAATGAAAGTGATAATGAAAGTACACTAATTTTACTACTCTCGAATCTCGATTTCTTCAGCACGTATCTTTACTTGGGGCAGACAGCGGATTCAGGGTCAGTGAAATTAATGTAAACCACACTTCTGCACTGTATGGTCATTCACTGAGTCTCTATCCTTCTTCTGGAGATACGTGTATTTACGCACGTATAGAGTCCGTTAAAAACTTGGAAGCATATGAGGTTCTGATAGAATATCGTCTATTAATGTCAAATTACATCTCCATGAATTATGTGCCTCTTTCGTTATCTTTATTGCGATGTACGTTTACACTCATATTCGATATTCTCGTTAAAGCTCTATATGGCTATATTGTAGCTGTCAGATGACAATTGAAATAATCTCCACGAACGACGATCGCTTATCGAATGTCATGCAAGTTGCATGCTTGCAACTTTTAATTAATTTGAAAGAACGTGCTGTCACCTTGTCCAATTTTCTATTAATACCTCGACCACACGGTGCTAGCATTTTCTTCAAAGGCATGGAAGGAAAGTTATAACAAACTCCATAATAGAACTTTGTCCACTTTATGACACATACATATGTCACACGTCCGTTCTAACGAAGCAACGTCAAAAATAGGCCACAATCAGGCTGTCAATTCACAGCTGATTGGAAGGAAAGTTAGAAAATCCAGTTTACTTGTTAGGAACCACCCCAGGGAACTCTTCGAATACCCCCAATGTGCTATAAATTTGTAATATGATAGATCTCACCTTCGCTTTGGTCGCGTTGGGGCAGCCTCAAGGATATAGAAGCAGGGAATGAAACGGATGATTATAAAGTCCACGAACCACGGATTATTTCAGATTAATAGCATCTGGATGAACGAGGATTATCTATTTCTATCCAACTTCTTCAACATAGTCCATACATTCACTTTTATATACTAAATGGTTTTTCATTCGGAAAAATAGCTTTGATAATACTTCTGCGGTACTTTAACGACATTTCATTGGTACTTCGATGACACTACGACAATGTTTCCACGATAACTTCGATAAAAATAAAGAAAAGGAAGATTCGACGGACTCAGCCAAAGTAAACTGGATCAATGATTAAGCAACGCGTAAAATTATCTTTCGATAATTTTATACGAAACCCATTTCCGTGGTTATAGCTCGTGCCCAACGTCCATCATCGCGTGTACGTGAAAACAGTGTTCACGAATCGACGACGAGTGATTCACGGTGTGAGAATGCATTTTCGCGTGAAATCAGGACCAATGTTTCATTTTTCGCTTCTAATGCCGAACGAAAATCGAACGAGCTAACGATTGAAAAATAGCACCCATTCTATCGCTTTTCCACGAAATCTGGTTATATAAGACGAGATTCGGAGCTTCTTAAGTGCCTCGCGGAATGAATTTTCGAGGCACTCATAGTCGGTAATGAAAAGTTAGGAGATCGGTCGAAAATTCGAGTCGTGGTCCATACGAGTCTATGACGTACGAAATTTTTCCTCGTCAGACGTTTCTCATGGATATTCTTGGGACCAATTAGCGAAAGATGGAAAACGAGAGTTGTGCTAAGTCGGTGGTGTTTCAAGCACATGCAAAGGAATAGTTATTCTTCGTTTAAATTCATGCAAAACTTAACGTGAATGGTACCTAAATGGTACCTAGATAAATGGAAATTTAAAGCTTCACTGGAAATTTATTTTTTAATTTTCTTCGGGATAATATTGTAATATAAAGGTTACTAGTTCTCTTGTTCAATTGCATTGCATAGAGAATCCATTAACGTCACAGTGGGTAACCTTGTCTTATATTGTGTTCGATAATCGTAATTGATCGCGAATAGTGTTACATTATGTTTAAGTGACATGATATTGTTTTGTAACAATTTCAATCGCTAATATTCTTAGTTTGCTGATTGAGACGAAGAGAATAATCGACGAAGTAGAATTTTGTAATAAGTTTATTATCGATTAGATAGAAAAAGGATTTAGAAATTAGAATACCATCTTCATAATTTATCGAACGATAAAATGTCATATATTTATTTTATTTATCAATGAACAAGTTTAGTGTAGATAGCTCTATGTAAACAGTATTATTTCTTTCTGAAAGGTATTTACGATTATGCTCCATCGATGATCGTTGCTTGTACCGAAATGATGCAGACAACTTAGATATCGTGTAAGGAGATGCGAAAACATGACTATAGAAATTTGTTTCCCGTTGTAAAGCAAATATAAGCAATGTTTCGCTTATCTTCTTCCTGTCAGTGAAATTAAGAAACAAATTATTATCTTGCATTCTTTGATTTTATTAGGAAATAGAACATTAGGATTACATATCAGAGAATTCGTTAGTTCGTTAATGCATAGGGCAAAGTTACTTTCAGATGGAGAAAGTTAAGGAATTACTATTTTTTAATTTTCTTGCTAGATTATTAATTTTGGAATAATATTTTCCATGAAATTATACTTTAATCGAAGATTATTCCTTTAGCAAAATTTTCCGTAAATTTATTTATATTTCTTTATCACAAAATTATTTTTAAATAGCTATCTACATTTCCATTGATATTATCTCAATAATGAAGGAGGAAATTGTAGAAATAGTTGCAATTATGAATATTTGTATTCTAAATATTGTGAAATGATTTAGATTAAAATTTATAATAATATCCTAGTATCCCAAACATATCATAAATAATTCTTGGCATTCGTAAACGTTGCATCACACAAGGAAGAAATGATTCAATCTCCGTCGTCATTTATATCTCAGGCTTAACACTTGTAACATCAAGCTTCCCGATTTCGGCTCCCCTTAAACAACGCCTCCTTTGATAGGAAGAGCAATAATGCGATTTGTTGACCATAGCTACTCGTCTATCAGATTCAAGGTTTCTAGGTTACTTTAGAGCACCCAATGGTGTACCAAAATGTCAGAAGCCTGTGCGTCACAATTAATAGGAGTATCAACGTGTCTAGGGTTCACTGATCCATATGTGGTCCAGCGTCACAAATCCACTGATCCACCAGTGATTCATTAACATTCAAAATCCTAAGTTTTAAACATACGAATGAAGTCCCGTTTTCGAAACAAGTCAAAATTGTCAAGTCAAGTACAAAAATATTTCAATTATGATCACCGAAATATTCTGGTTTTCGACTATGGACGTGTTAGGCGAAACATATAGTTATTACACGGTCGTGAAGTCACGAAATTACTTTTCGAAAGGTAACATGTCCGAAAAGAGAGGTACAATAAAAGAAGCATGGTTGATGGCAGCAATTATGAAAGTTTCCTCCAGTTTCCCCTAGTTTTCTCTAGTTTTCTCGGCTTGTCTATGTACCATGTACACACATGCTTCCAGTTTCTGTCGTAAAAAGACCTTCTCCCTCGAAAGCACTTAACCACCTCCGTAAAAGAACGACGGAAAATCCTCGATGAAGGTTTCATCCCTTCTCTCATTTCTCAAGGAGCAGACGACGTTTGAGCGATGATGTTCGTATATTTGTTTTAGCCGTAAATATAAAAAAATATGACACGAAAAATATGTTACTCGCCAAGTTTCCCTTCGTACTCGAGTGAAATATATAAAAGTTTAGGTTAGAATAATCGTAGATCATTTTAATTAAATAATACCAAGGGACAATGAGTAGACTAATCGATTGTATACAGAAACTTGAAATATTATATGACGCGAAGATACGTTCTAGAATGTTAGCATAATCTTCAGATTTACAGTGGCTAATTCTCCGAAAGAAGTTAGTTAATGGGAATTCATAAAGTTTTAGGGTGAAATTTGGAAGTTTAAGGTATCAAAACCCACGTGAGTCTTCTTTATGCTCTCCCGCTTTACTTCTACCTTCTCAGATAAGACAGTCCAGAAATTGAAGTACCCGATTCGATCAGATAAAATTGAACGTTGGGGTAATCCTACGTGATGAAAAACCCTCGGGATTCCGGTTCAATTTCAATAAAAATGTCCTGTATCCTGCCGAAAGTTTTCGTCCAACCACACACACGCTATTTTACCGATACTTGTATCACAGGCTCACGAATTTGCCCTGATATTTAAGGTTCCGCACTCCTCTGCCAAGCAGAATGTTATCTTTCTACTTGTTCGTGATTCGTCGTTTGGTGGTCTATTATTATAAACCAAACACCTATATTATCGTGTCAAAACAGTTCCATTTCCCGTGAGCCTTTGCTCGCATAAATCCCAGAAGCAGCATGTTCCACGAATAACTACTCTTACAATTAGACGTGACATGTCAGAACGATATAGTATTCCGTTCTGCAAATAGCTAGTCTTCCTTTGTTTGGGTTTCGAAAGTTTGAACGGGAATCGTGTATTGAACACCGAAAAAACGATATCACAGTTCGATCACGAATTCCTTTTCCGCATTTTCCCTGTCCCTAAAATAATGGCGTCTAAAATAAGATTTAAGATCATCAACAAGGTCTGAGGCTCTCGAGTAGCCCTAGAAGTACAGTGACGCAGATCAGAAGTTCGCCTATTTTAAGTTGCATGAGTCCGAGACGAAAACAAAAACTTCTATATATTTGCTCGTCATTCACAGGATTTCACTTGGCACATAGGAGAGGACGTCGAACGTTTATGAAACACCCATGGTCCTTCCCTCGGTGTTCTTCTATTTACCGATTACTCGGCGTAACAGCCGTTGATGGTCCATTAGAATCGAATCGATATTCTTCGATTGCTTTTCGCCACGCGTCGTCAGCCAGGTTCGTTGACTTTGCGTCGCGTGGTTGGGCAATGATCGATGCGATTGTAGGTGTCGAAATGGGACACGTGGTCGAATGTATTCGGATGGAACTGGTGTAGCTATTTGTTCTCTACATTTGTTTTCCTATCGACAAGATGACACAATGCGATGGTGATGAAGAATCGGAGGACTAGGACGTTAGGGATCACCTGTTGGTCTGCGCTAGCTTTCTCGCGTAGAGCGTAAATTTTATAGGAGTATAGCGCGTGTTGAAATCGCCTGTTCCGTGGACGAAAAAATATTCCCTGATACTGGTACTACTCAATCTGTGACACGCATGTGTTCTCCAGCAGGTGACGTACCCGGTAATTGTACGTTGCATGCTAGTACTCTGGCTGGTAGCTCTGGCGTTGACAAGCCTGCCGCTTATGGGTTTTGGCGTGTACTACAAAGGTGAACAATGCGTTCGATACAGAGAAGCCACCGAGCCGGCTGATATTGCCTACGCCTACGTCTGGTTCTTTTTCGGTGAGTATGGCATGTTATCGCGACCGATAAATCCTTGGACGTGTTTCGATTCTGACATGACAACTTAATGAGCCGAGAGCTGGGTGATTCAAACCCTATTCGTATAAAATCGATCGTTTGGTAGAAAATAATACAGAACAATCTATGTGTAAATTAATTTTTTCATTTATTCGCTATTTCATTAGTTGGATTTAATGATGCAACATTAGTACAATTACTATTTCAAATAAGAAATTCATATATCTTGGTTATAATAATCTGTCATAAAAGGAAGCAAAGTTTGTAAATTTTGAACAATTTCAGAATTATTTCTATAGTAATTTTTTCGTCAAAAATTGAATCGTTCCTTTGAATGGCAGGTACGGTCCTCTGCCTGTCGATAGTCTGGTGCAACTTAGCTGTATCTAGAGCACTGAGCAGGCTAAGTCGCAAAGCTGGCGTTCTCCGGCGGGTAACGAGATCTTCCTCAAGAGCGAAACCACTTTTGACAGTGACGGGGCCAGCACCGGAAATCGTCACCACCGCCGAGGAAAGGGCATTCGCAAGATTGATGGCCGTACTATCAATATCGTTTGTTGTCTGTTGGATGCCACAAATGGTAAGCAATCGATCGTGGAAGTAATTGATTCAATTAATTCTCTCCCGGCGGAACGCCCTGGCCAATTAAACGATGCCTGCGTTTTTTTGGCAAGCTAATTAGAATTCATAAAATGCGCCGCTTCGGGTTCTTCCGCTTTCGGACACTTTGGATACAGACGACCCGTTAGATAGGATTCGCAGCTGTCTAGATACTAGAGAATATATCTGCATATATATAGTATATATTTATTATAATATATCGTGTAACAAATGAATTAGATCTTTACACAAGTTGACATTACATTCACAAAAATTAAAAACCAGCGTTTGGTAATTTTAATTTTTTAAATAATTATTTTACAATTTCACTAATTAATTTTATGTAAAATGAAGCAATAGTCCATTTTACTTTATTTTCCGCGTAAATTTATACAGTGTTAAACTGATTTTTAGCTGCTTTCACTTCTTCGATTTTGCAAGCTTTTATGTAACGCTGCAAGATTTTAAAGGACTTCTTACGAAATTTATATACATATGAAAATATCAACCGGTGTTTATATCGATTTGCTCATGTTTCTTCAAAAGATTGATTTATGTTCCCTCAAATGCGACATCGGCGACTGAATCGTAGTTAATTTCTTGATCCGTGCATTCCTTCATCTCGTTGTAATTTTGACTCATCATCGATGGTATATTTTACCAACGAACCGCGCGAAAGGGAAGTCTCTACGAAAGAGTTTCCGGTTACTCTCATTTATGGAGGCAAATGGCGTTTACGTGACGCGTTTGCCGAAGATACATTCGTCGGTAGTATTTGCTCCTACGCCGTCGAAACATCGATAAAATTTGCGCTCGTGTCGGCCGTGACGGGACTTTAAAAGCGAATCAACATTTCTCATTCTACACCATGTATCTTCCCTAAAGTACCCATCTAACTATTCCTCACCATACATCGAACGAAGCTTAATTCAATTTCACCGCTACGAAACCCAATGTAATCGATATTACATCAATTAACGAGTAATTACTTTTCCTCGAAATAAAAATGGATATTTTTCCGCGAAGAAAATATCTTCGACTAATTTTACCACCTCGATGTCTAGATGATTATGTCGTAGTATTTCGCGAACAGAAGTCACTCTCATTGGCACAAACGCGGAAGTAACGCGAATTCGGGAATCAGGGTAGGAAATTCCATGTCGCTGCGAAGAAATCGATGTCATCGCTCGGAGCTTTCGCATTCCTGAATTTTTAATTCAATGTAATCACGGTGTATCCTGCCGGCAAGAATACAATCGCATCGAACAATGCACTCGGTGGTACGGTGATTGCATACTCACGAGCATTAAATGTTTCCATCTCCTTATCCGCACAGCATCTTATTCCACTCTGTCGTCCTCGCGAGACTCTCAGGTTCTCCTCGAGTCCAGCCCGATCCATCGATCCTCTCGTCGAGCTTGTTTCTCGAGCTTGCATGGAATTGCTCGTTCTCGATCCTCGGGCGGCTCCAAGGTGGCGGATGAAAATAATGGAACGATTTGCTCGCGCAAAATTGCCAACGTGACGCATTTCCGCCGCCAGGGACGAAGGTTAAACTCGACGATTCGGTTTGGAATATCCTCACGTACGATCGATCGCGACGTTCGCGAACGATCGATCTTTTGTAACGCGTCGATGTTGGCTTTGCGATCGAAGCCGGATGTGAAAAGATTTAGATAAACGACGAGGCAAATTTTCCACGTCTATCGTCGTAGACAGTGTATTTCTGACGTTCACCCTAACCGCGTGGGTTCTTGTTGATTCTATCGTGAACTATGTTGCTTGTCACTCTACGCTGTTTTTAGCGATCTTACGATTAACTCGAGATATAATTATGCAGGATTATTGCTAGATTAATCCTATGCTGACAGAGATCTGCGCGTCTGATAAACAACCACTCCTTTTTAATAACAAAGCAGGTTTATTTAAACTAAAATATTACACTAAGTTCCTCTCAACTCTAACTCTCAAGCACACGATTCTCTACTCACTACGTCTCGACTATACGCATTCTGACTAGCACGCGCCCTTGCACTCTTATTTAAAGTCTAACACTCTCTCTTTTCATACGTAAGCTCTCTTCGTTGATCGCTCATTTCCCAGGCGACCTAGCCCTTGATGGGCCAGGTACTTCAGACACTCGGACGCATTCCTAGACTTTCGTTCATTGCTTGCACTTGACCCGGTCATAAATATCTCATCCGTACAATTGCTGCACGTGGTCATCCGTCCGTCCGCGTGCACTCTAGATGATACCCTAAACGCCTAAGCCGAACCCGATATCGCTCTTAATACTGTTTCCTTTGCTAGGGTCCTTCCCAACTCGTAATACCATAATTATGCGACTTGGAATAGTAATTATCGCGTGGAAGCTCGATTTCGATATCGATGAACGCATCGAAACTGATGGCTGACTGATCATATTGATCATTTTATCGGGATAACATCGCTAATAACGCTATTTATATGCAGTGTAAAATCCAGTAGAATTGGAAATTTACTTCTGTGACGCAACACAGGGTGTTGGTTAACAAAATCATCGCTGTTTCTCTAGGTTTCCATCCCATTGGCACAGTTCGCGCTGAAGTTACCTCAGAAGGCACTACTCGCGCGAAAACTGATTCGTATGTTTCACCTGGCTGCCGATGTCCTTCTTTGTATTCACTTCACCCTGGATCCATACATCTACGTACTACTGAGGATGCCACGGCCGAGGTTCCGCCTTCTGAAACCCCTCTGCAAGATCTGTTGGCCAGCCAGAAGCCGATCGAGCTCGTTCACTGGTGAGTCTCGTCAATCCGACACGCAAATTAGGTATTTAGAGGACATGGGATCAATTAGTCACGCAAGTGGGACCGATATTGTAGAGATTTGACGTATTCTACGGAAGGATTATTTATTTTTATACATTGTATTTTAATATTTAGCAGTACTTTACTAATGATGATATTTATACTGTCACAAATATAATGTCTTAACAGGTTTTGCATTTTTAAATAAATAGGAGACACCACTCGTCGCAATTGCGTGACTTATTTATTGTAGCGTATAATTGAACCTATCCAATTAACCAGTGTCTCACTGTTAAGAGTTTCAACAACTAAAGAATGCGATGGGTGGTTTGTCCATGTATTTTTCGTTCTCGAGACGTAACTTAACATCCACTGCTGAGCCTGTTTGTCTTAAAAAGGTTTCCCCGTGACACGTTTAACGAGAAATTAAAAGGTCCATAAAGAAGACCCACGGGGAACGCCCTACGGGTCTATCTCTCGATCATCTCTTCGTTGCCTCGTAACAAATAGGGCACTCTCACATGAGCTTCAAATTGAAATTGAATCGATCCTTAAAGACGACTCGAACAATCGAATTAGCATTCATCTAAAATTATTTGTATCTTCACGTAACAAATCCCTATTATTTCCTAATCAGTGTTGTAACTCACGCTATAATCTCTTAATCGGTTGCATTCCTTGATCTAATCAGTGTAATCTTTTATAATCTACTCCATGATTTCATAACCTAGTCATTCATAGTTTACTGTAATTTATTATACTTTTCCTTGCAAGAAGTTTTTCAAAAACAGTAACTGGAAACGAACTGGAAACTGTTGTATGTTAGAGAAACGGAAGAGGGGAATCCTGGTTTCTATATTTCTAAGATATCTATGGTAGCTCAAAGGTTTGGGATTATCTCTAATATTTCAAATTTATGAAATTTCTTATTTCATAAATATCACGTCTCTTTTTCTATTTCTAGAGACATTCGCCTCTAAATATTATAGACTACTATTTTTCAATTTCTTATCCTTGTTAAATAATCATCCATTTTCATTTTCCCATTACCATTTTGAATTATGCATCGTTATAAATAGTACCATTAAAACAGTTCAAGTAAATACAAACTAAAAATTCTAATGGAATCTTTTCCTCAGTTAAAATGAATAATTTAAAAGAAAAATTTAAAATTAAATTAAATCAAAAATAAAACAAATTCGTAACTTCTCCATTAAGAAATCCACAGTTCCATGTCCACTGTCTAAGCGATCCCAAACCTTTGAGCAATGGCGTAATTACTTTAGCAGTCAGTTGCTCGTTATTATAGCTGATCAACAACTTTTGACAGGAGTAGTATCCTCCTATCAGTTTAGGTTGATGTTGATGATCCACACGATTGAAATGGACTCTCTAACACCTGACAGGTACCACAGACCACCAGGGGAGCAGTGGTGATCCGTCGACCCCGATTACCGAGGCACCCTCCACACCCGTCAGCGAGGAACACGATCCTCATTTTGTGGCGGTGTCGGTCTGAGACAGGCTTCAGCGAACGATCTTCCAGAAACGGCTCAAGAGTCACGATGTCAGCCAGGTTTGAGCTGCACACTCTTCGAGAACGTTGGAAGATCTTCGCTTGGTAAACACACGAGTAATCGCGCTGCGAAGTTTCATCGAATCACAAATGACTGGCAGAGACCCATTGCCTTGACGTCTCGTTAATTGGTCGAACTATCGAAATTTCGACGAAATTTTAACTTATCCTGGCTGATGATAATTAGGAAGATATTCGAGACAGTTTCCAGACTGTTGTCCAAGTATTTCAAGCGGAATGGGTTCAGTGTGGAACCGCTTCCCTTTGGGGAATCTTCAAGATGACGCAGTGAGTCGTTGAGGAACAAATCAGGTGCGTTGAGATCGATACCTCGCTGATCCCTTCGTGTACAATTTGCATCGAATGCTCGTGTTTCTTCTGTTTAGTTTCTGCGTTACTGTACATTGTTCATTTTATGGATAATTTTAATCGCTGTAATATTCGGGTATTTTAATATTCCTCCGATCGATTTAGTTTTTCCCCCAAAAAAGTACCGTACTTGATGTCGAAGGTTTTTAATGGGATTGAGTCACGAAATAATGTCAGGAATTGAGGTTCTTACCTCTTTTCTTTTTTTTTCTTTTTTTTATTGCCGAATCGCGTTAAAGAGGTGAGCGAGCAGCATTCCATAAATATTATCGCACGTGGTGCACGTATCGTATTAACGAACATATATTATTTTTCAATTCGTGAAATTTCAAGATGCTATAAAATACCCGGTAAAATCTAGAAGACTCTACTCGTTTGCAGTTTGCAAGTGAGATTGAGTGTCGTTTGTTCGTACGATGTTCTTTTTCGACCGGGTATTTTGCACGAGAGTATAAAAATTGGATGTGAAATTTTTGAAAAATTTTCTGTTTCAAAAAGAGAATGTTTATATATACATATATATATATGAGAGTTTGTATAGGAGTAATATTAGTGCGTTATTATAAGAGGAAAGATAGTTTACGTTATCGAGAAGTACATTTTAAGTAAGTGAACGTAAAATCATGGCAATGCAAATTTCGACACACACACCTCTGTCACAGTTACGTAAATGAATGTCTAGTCAATAAATTAATGCAAGCGTGCAGGAGTTACAGGACGAAAGCAAAGAATGGACATTTACCAAAGTATTCAATGCTAGAGCATATTTTCTTCGTACAATGTACTTCCTTAAATAGAATTTAAGAGAAAATCACACGTATATATATTTTTTCTTTTTTTTTTTTTAAGTATACACTGACGAAGATACTAATCCTATAGAAATAGATTAATCAAAAGTCTCATACTTAACAGACGTTACCGTAAATTGTCACTTTACCACAGCAGCCGGTGTGATCCATAGTCGTAAATATTCTTCTATTGTATCGATGTAATGATATTAATAAATTTTACTCGTTTTTTTTTTATTTTTATTTTTTTTTTTTTGTTTGATATATCCCAAGGATATCGACGCTATTTTCACCTGTCTGTAAACTTCTCGTCGTGTCAGGCATTAGAAAACTGTAATGGAAATGAATCATCAAATATAAAGATTCGAGTAATCGAACAAATTACAATTCATCGGTCATCCAAGAGCAATTTTCTCTTCGAATCTTCGCCTCTCGGATAATCCATCTGCCACCATTCTCGCTCCAGTGAGGAATAATATTTTTATTCATTTTCTCCGGCCATAAGTGAGGAGGGGAATTAAACGACGCGATGGAATGGTCATTGCTACACGAGAATGCGGGAAACAACGAAATAACGACACCAGTGGGAAGGAAGGAGTACATATAATACAAATATATTTTATACGCAGTTACGTATCTCTTGCTTCTAGACACTTAACAACATTAATCAATAACTTACGGGACGCGATCGTTGCTGAATACATGACACCTTTCTTTTTTTTGTTTTATTGCACACTAGAAATATACCACAGATGCATTCGTACACGGTATCAATCGCGATACGTCTGGCGTACTTTCACGTACCTTAAGTAGCTACAATAAATAATAATTCGACTTTTAACACCACGCTCGTTTCCTGGTTCACTCTCATCGATCAGTGATCCACGTTCGCACGATACCACGCTCGCTACGAGACAAGATAGACGTGGGACGATCGTGACGATATTTCATCGAATTCGTCGGGCATTCCTATTTTTCGCGTTAATTCGCGTTAATCATCGCGAAATGATCGTCCCGTTCATCCTATACACGCGGTCGCACCCTCGCGAAACGATTATCATCGCACCCCATACGACTCGGGCTCCACGTCCCGCACACTCACACGCGTCACAACGACAGACACAACGGATATGATTGCACGCGTCGCCCCGCGATTAAATCGATTTCTTTTAATTCGTTTTAATTCGTTCCGAAAGGCGAACGCAAAGTCAAAGGCAAATATCTATCACACGCGACCCTCTCGTCACCCCTCGTCCCGTTCTCTCCACTCCCACAGGCACTCAATCGACCTCAATCGCACGCAAACACGTATATGCGTCTCGCTACGATAATAGAAATCACACCGATAAACAAAATATAAGCCCCGTACGCGGCCAACAATTTTTGCTAGCGACAGATTGTACCTTGCTTCCGAGCTGGCTAGGCTTGCAAACAGCGATTTATCACACGTACAGGTATGTCGATAATTATGTACACATCGAAAAGGTGTCTCTATCTCTATGATAATCTCAGAGCGAATCGGTGATCGTTTGCATCGGTTCGAGCCGGCCAGGAGGATCGGAGATGAGGATCTCGTTCGCTTCTGACGAAAAGTATCGCGTCGATGTCGTCGATCGAGTAGGTTCGATGGCTGTTTGTACGATTCGAGTTACTTCGTTACTTTGTGCTTCGCACTTCGAGGTTAGTAGAGTCAGTCTTGAATCGTTCGAAGCGTCGCCGGCTCTCCCCTGTTAAACGATGCCACCCTTCGGAGACATTCGTTCCAACAATGTTTCATCTTTTTTCTTTTTTTCCGTTTTTTTTTTTTTTTTTTTTTTTTTTTTTTTTTTTCGTTTTTTTACACATTTTTCCCATTTTTATGTTCTCTTGCATGTGTTATATAATTAGACAACGCATCCATACAATTTCTTTCAATTTTCTGTAATCGAAGGATAACAATTTTTAATTTTCGCAATCGTCAAACGCCGTCGTAAAATCTCAAAGTGCGCGATACTCTGAACACCTAACCTTGGCTTCGTGAGAGATCTAAAGTTCGTGAAACGAATAGAAGAGAAATTTGACAACGAACGTAATCGAACATTTCAAGAAAGAGACACCCGAAGCTGTATAGCGTCCTCGGTTAATAATTCAAACGAATCGGAAAGTGTATAAGACCGTGTACAGTTGAACGACTTCGGTGTCGTGTAACTGATTCTCGAAACTTGCAATTTCGCGCGAAAAGTAACGGTGAATTACGAAAATCAGGGGGCAAAGGGGCGCGAACCATTTGGCACGACTAAGGATCGAAATTCGTATCGTGGAACGACACTTGATCTCGTGTAAGACTATCTGAGGGATCGATATCGATTAATTATTGTCAAATACGCTGTATGTTAATTATGCATGGTCAATATATCCGCGAGTCGTTCGAAGTTGTAAAAAAGTCAGACGAGTCGCTCGAAGTTGAAGCGAATAAAACGCGCGGGAGGTGTATAAAGAGCTTAAGATCTATCCAGAAGTACCCTGAACAGGGAGAAACTATGCGAATTGGCCACTCGAATTTTGTACCATTGATACAGACCGGGGCAACCGAACAATTTTTTCCAAGCGTTACGATTTATCGCGACGAAGCTTCGAGGCGCCATCTTTGATCGTATACCATTTCTTCGCGGATCTTACCACCCTTACATCTTCTTACACCATCTCTCTTACACTTTCAACGATATCTTCCACTCGTAACAACGCCTCCTATCAAATAAAAAAATATGGGAAGACGAAAAATTGTATAAAACGCAACGTCGATTTCGTCCCCCTGTCAACGATTAAAATTTCATCCTATCATCCCCAATTTCTCCCATCGCTGCGGGGGCCAAGTAAGCTATAACTCTTTCGTCCAGCAACCGCTGGACAACGTCGCACTCGTTCAATTCCAAAGAAATTTACTCTTGCCCGATTTTCTTTTAATTTATTTCTTTTAATTTCCCGACAATAATTGGCAATTCTCTGGAATTCCATTTGTGACTAAACACGAACACATTCCGTTACGAACGGTGAATTATTAATAAAACGAAGAAACGATGTTACGCGTCAGTTCTCGAGCATGCTCGCGTCGATCGATGGACAATGATAAATTCGTTTTGGCACTCTAACTCGATTAAGCCCCCTTTTAGCGTTTTAACGTATTTTTAGGCCAGTGTCACGGTTGTGTATAAGCTCGATTCAACGCTCTTCCAGGTATCGTAATTACATTGCTCAAATTCTCAACGTGCGTATTACATCTAAACACAACGAGGATGTACACGCGCGGTTAAATCGATCCGCCCGAAGCACGCGCGTACGTTCCTTCCGCCTGTTCCTCCTTTATTGAACATCGAGGTACATCGACACTAAATTACAATCATGCGACGAATCGTCGCGTGATTCAACATCGAGAAAAACCAACGTCTATTCGGTCCAAGTGCAAAAGTACAAACTCGCGTGGAATCGATTCCCTGAAATCAAGCAGGTTCAAAACGTTGCTATCGGTATTCCGATCGAATGCTGCTCATCGAATTTTGATAAATTCCGATAAATTCCGACGAATTTTTACCCTTTGACCTTTCATGCTGTCTAGCGAAAAGATGGATTCCTCGGGTTTTGACGTTGATTTCAGCGAACCGTTTCCCAGTTCCATCCATAACGATCCAACGAGAGTCGAACAGATTAGTTTAAGGATCTGATCCCGATCAGCGTTAAAACAACGACCAGAGAAAGCTGCCTAGTCCGGTTCCATAGCAGTTTGGAACGCGTGTTTCTTGACACCTTGAAAGTAACGGACCTCCTTTATCCTGCTTTTTATCCACTCGGCCAAAACGAGCCAGAGAACCTTCCCGCGTTCCCTGAAAAATCGTCGGGCGAACACGTCCTGAACAGTCACGATCGGACAATGACGGACCCGACTACGTGTGACTTGCACACGCAACAACGATTCCCACGGCATGTCATGCCGATGCGAGTGAGTTGTGGCCCTTACCTGCAAAATTTCGGCATTTCGTGAGTCAAGCGTGTAGGAATTTCACGGAAGAAATTAATTATTCCGATTTTTATCACGTGTGATCCGAGAATTCTGATAGGATGTAAACTATACTGTCTAATTTGCGTTTTGACTACTTCAATATTAGAGTTATCGAATTAATAAGGCGAAGTGACTGGTTTGAGATTTTATCTTTGCAGTTGCTGAAAATATGCTGCTGCTTTTGGCAAAGTTCATGTTGACTTTTATTCAGACAGAATTATATATAATATTTATTTTCATCATTCCACTTTAATGATTATAGTCTATATGTACATATTATATTTAGGTTCTCATTAAAGATCGGTAGTTCTAGTACTAAATGTGATATAACGTCTGTTAAAGGATCCAGGCCAAGTGTCTTCTATTCTAATTTAAATATATAATTATTCAAAAAATCATTTTTACAGTAAATTCGATAATATGCTATTTTATATCCTGCTTCGCAAAGCTAAAGACTGTTTGAAAATGAAAATTCAGTTAATTCGTAACGAGTACTCACCGAGGGCCCTGCTAGATCAGGTCACACTTTCCAAAGCAGCAGATGATTGGTCGAGTCCTCGCGACCAGCCTGCAGCTCGGCAGATGCCTGTGGACCTCTGAAATCCTCGTAGCCATCTCCGCCTGATATCACCAGAAGTTTCCCGCGATTGATGTTGTTCTGTTGCGTCTTGCTGGACTTCAGAGAGTATCTGTTCACCTTTGGACGCGGATCCGGCTTCGCTGGCGTCGTCGTTTCCACGCATGTGAGGAAACGCACGTGTCCGGTATGTCCATGAGGAATACCTGAAAAAGGCAATAAAAATAACCTCCTTTCCCGGTGTCTCTCGAAACAACGTGCACCAATCTCTCACCGTGCTACAGCAGTTGAGACGGGACAATTTGGCAAATGCAGAATTCAAAAATAAATCACGCGGTCGACCCGAAAAGACTTATCAATCACGATCAATCAAACGTGGATCGAAACGGGAAGCTAACATCTGTTGCCAATCAGCGAGGATCTACGCTCGTTTCCTCGTTTCCTCAACATCTCTGCGAATCGATTTTAACAGTGGACCTTGCATACACTCGTATACATCGCAGACTCGTGCACACGCTAGCGAGGAAGTAAAATTCGAGGAAGACCAAGATACGTATTACTCGATTTGTTTAGAGACAGGTTTCCTCGCAACGGAATATCGCAATTAAATCGCAGCAGAGATTGAAAGTCTGTTTGCCGTGTAGCCACGTCAAAGGCTCCGATTCCCGAGATTTATTAGCCCACGGTTTACGTAGCTGCACGAGCGGATCCAAAAACTTCGCGAATGATTGATCGAACCTGTATCTGGCCGTCGTCGAAGCGGACACCTCGCGAGAAGACACGGGTCCACTCGGTGGCCAGCTTCTAATTATAACGAAAGCAATAAGCCGTGATTATAAACGATCGAACATGACGTCAATACGTACCAGTCACGATCGGCGGTTGGGACATCCTCTGAGTAGATGGCTTTATATGGGGAATTGGCACGGTCAGTAGTACGCCGGCGCTCGTGCCGATCCAAAGCAACTCGTTGCAAGCCAAAAGTGCGGTGACCCTGAGACAGGCGGCCTTGTGTTGTCGTATTATGTCATCGCAACCTGCAGCAAGTTTAAAGCTTCCGTTAAAATAAATACCATATGACGAAGTAGAGAAGTAATTGCTGTGTAAAGATTCTTTAAGTAGCCCAGACCTCTATGGTCTGAAGTTTGCTTTAAAATTATAAAAGTATGGAGTCGAGGAGGGATTCACTGATCCGAATTAAAGAAAGAAAGAAATATATGTTAATCCTGCGGGTGTCGTGATCCTAAGTGTTGTAATGTTTGCAAGAGGATTGACTAGATGCAATTTATAATTATTAAACATAATGTATCACAAATATTCTCTTGATGATGTTAAAATAGAGTAATAACGAGGAAACTATATTAGGATACAAGTAAATCAGAATTCTCAATTGCTGGACATCTGTCACAAGTGATACTGATATACTCGAGACAAAAATTTTCATAAATCATTTTAAATACATATCAAGCGGATCATCCTTTCTTCTTTTGTCTTCCATACATGCCAAAGATTTACTGCATCATATGTCTGCTCAAAAATATATATAAAAGGCTTCTTTACGTATTTATCGGATTCACGAACTTCGCAGGATTAACAAATATATATATATCCAGGATTGTATCTTCCCGTTGTCACATTTTAAATTGATTGTACACTTTGCCCATACTCAAGCAGGCCCAGAAATGGCCGCCGACGAGGAGTACCACTCGGTCCAATTCGTGAAGAACAACCGTTAAGCCTACTAGTGAAACGAATTTTGGAAAGCGGAGCCGCTGAAAGGAATCTGTTGTTCATACATTTAACGGCCCTTCGTCTCAGGTAAGATACCCATTTTATCGTCGGTTATACATTCCCAGGTGCAGGTCCTAACTGAACCTGTGGATCTTTTACGACCCTCAGGTAGATTCGTCTTCCGAACCCAAAAGTCAAGACTAATTCGAGGCTCACGAAGAAAAACGTATTAACTTCTACTATGACTCATTAGCTTTTTAATATTTAGTACAAAGAGGGTAGGATATTGCAGGTATCTTCTGTACCTACGCAAAGGTACACGATGTCAAGATACGTAGAAACTTACTGGTAAGCATTTTGGTGACAGCCGGTGCTATATTGATGTCCGTCAAGCATTCGTAGCTACCAGAGTGGAATAAACGCAACACGGCGCTATTGTGCAAAGAAATCCAGACTCCTAGTCCACCGGAACTTGCCATGCAGGAAACCGACAAGGACGTGTCGTTGCTAACGGCGAACGTGTGTTCCACGTCTAGCGTGTGGGTGTTGAGAATTTTCACCGAATTGTGGCATCCGCACCAAAGTTTCCCGGATACCGGAAGCATTTTCGTCACTGGAGAAGCCACCGTGCCCACCGACACTGATCTCGGGTCTGGGGTGTTCCAACCACCTACTGTGATTAAACGATAACCTTTTACTTTGAAATATTTTTCTCCCAGTTTTAACATTATCGTACAGATATACCAAAGATTTTCTTTACCGGTATTTTCATATATTCTATGAGATTTATTGTATAGTTTTTATTTCAAATTTTATTTCGTTGCTTGTTACACTTGTGGATGTTTTGTCCAACTTATCGTTGAACTAGTACAAAGTTTATTTTTCGTTATGAACTTAGTTAGATAATTAAATGTATAGTATATATAGATACAGTACATACCGTGATCTCGAGCATAGACAGTGATGTCTCCATTAGCAAGCGACACGAACACTTTATTATCCAAGTATCTAAAGTACCGAAGAAAAAGAGAGAGTGAATATACGTAGACTAAAGAAAAAGTGTAATTGATAAATTGTTAAGGAAAAATTTATTATCGACGATTTATTAGACGTCGTTTATTCGGAAAGGATAAAAAGAATTTTCTATTAAGTTTAATAAATGTCTTACATGATGCAGTGCACGCTGCTGTTGTGCTGTATTTTCACTTTGTTCTTTTTTATCCTGATGTTATCGTTGCAATTGTAAACGTGTATGCACCCATCCTCGGTCCCCAGCCACATGGTTGGTTGATTAACGTCCTCTTCCGTCGTAACGTTATCGATACTCGGAACGTCGCCACTCAAAGTCAGGCTACCCGTATCTGCACATGGAATGTCGTCCGAGTCCGAGTAGTCGGAGCTCGAGCAACTGCAAAACAGCTTTCTTAGATTAACGATGAAACGTACTAAATCACGATGTAAAATAATGTACAAGGAGTGTCTCTAAAAACAGGTCTTTCTTTTTAATTGACGCTGCAGAAAAATATATTAATCGAACAAGAAATTCTATTCTAGGAATTTTATAAGGTATAAAATATAAGGTACGGTATAAATATAAATATGAGAAAATTATTAATGCACAGATAATGTAGTTAGAGAATTAAAAAAAGTTTATTTTTACTAATATATTTTTGGCAGCGTCAAATTTGCAAAAAGAACTTATTTCTAGCAAGTGAATATGTGATTTTTAGAATGGGAATATTTTAAACACAGAATAACATAAAGGGCTTTTTATGGTAAAATATTCTATAACAAGAAATCAACCGATAATTGGTACCACTTCAAAATTATGATTGAAATGTAAGAAGTGACGGAATTCCTGGTTAGAATTTTCATTCTCGACATACAGATGTAAAATGAATGAACTCGAGATAATCTCGATTGCAGTTTAACCAACTTGCAGTTATTGTTCGTTATTACGAGTTGACTCCTCGTTATACAACACTATTTCGTTCCGATTCAAACTGTCAGTCAAGAGTATTACCTATCTAACTGTATGTTCCCGCCACTGGCATCGACATCCTGGACCGAGATGCTTATGCCGCTCTTACTGTTCGCGAATGAAATGTTGTTAGTCACGCACGAATTCGATCTAAAATATAATACAAATAAAGTAAGGTCCCTTTCTACTAGCCTACGAAACATTACAAAAAAAAAGGGAAAATTATTCCTTAAAATTTCCTTATCATTTCAACCTCCTTTCTTTCCTTTCAAGGACCTCGCAAAATCATTATGCTTCCCATGTTGCTTGAAACTTTCAGACATACGATTAAATTTCGTTGAAAAGATATTAAGTTGACGATGAAACGTTAATGATAATATCATCAGAGATATTTAGCAAACTTTGTCATCACTTGACAGAAAAATAAGTGTTTCGACACAGCTCAAAACCCACAAAGTGCAATCCTTATTTTAGAATACAATGTTCCATCGATTAACAGGATTTAACACGGTACAGACAAGACATTTTCCCAAAGTCCCACAACCAGCTCACACCCAGAAGCTTCGAGCAACGGAAACCGCAAGAACCCGAGTAGTGAAAGCCCCAGCTCACACCCCTAGCTTAGCCAAACGGAACGGAGTCTCACCTCTGAGTGCACGCCGGGATTCCAGCGACACACAGGATCCTGGCGTTGCAGACTCCGTTGCAAGATGTCACCTGCGGTGGTTCCGGAGTGAGACTCAGCACGCAGACCTGACCCACGTAGCCGTCGCTGTTGCACACCCAAACGTCCCTGGAGCCCTGTCCGTTGGCCAGAGTGGGAGCAGCACAGGTGAACTGCAAGCCAGCCCGAGTCTTTCGAATCGGCAGAGGTCCCACAAACTCTGGGCAGGGCCTCCTATCAGCGGACAACGCTGTAAGTTGAGACACATCGACACAGGTCAGACTGCGAAATGCACGCGTTGTTGTGTGGACCACGGAGTTCACGAGATTCGAGTCAGTCAGGTTCTATCTAACAGGATAGTAACAGGATCTCTAACTGAAAGGATCGCCAGCTCCGTGCACGAAGCTGAGGAAAGAAAACCTTGGAATAGTCCAGAAGAAAGCGTTACTTCTCAACGTGTCTGACTGATCAAACCTCGTGAATTCCAATACAGTCGCGTAGCGACTCACCTAACTTCTGTTTAGCCTCGTTGAAGCTCTCCTCCCAACTGGCCCTTTTGTCCGGCTTCGTGAACATCACGGAAATGTTCTCGATTCCAGCCCTGTAAATACATGAAACCGCTGTCACGCGAGCTGCTAGAAGTCACGTTGCTTATTGGACACAGTTGGATACACGTGGTTCAGAAACGCGAGGCAGGTAAAATGCAAAAATACGCTTATTGTGAGGCTGGACAGCTTTGTGAGCGGCTAATGGGATGGAATGTTGGCGTTCAATAAACTGTCACCATGCAGCTTCGAATGGAGGACTCCTTCGTTGTCCTTTCGGATGGAATTCATTCGCAACGTCGTCGTTTGTTGCGTAAATGACGTTGTGGCGGAGATACGCGCGCGGAGAATGACACGGTGGAATGGGGAAGCGGAGCTCGTTTAATACGAATTGTTGTAAATTATGGAAAAGATTCATGGTCAATGAAAAGAGCTCGTCACGTTGTGCGCTATGGTATCGTTTGCGGTGACCGGAGACAGATGACAGCGAGAAATTTAATGGATCGATTCAAGTATCGGTGGTAAAACTTAACTGTTCAATACGGAGTGTCATTCTGACGTTCAAGGGACATGGCAGAACTCTGTAAGGTTACTTACTGAGTGTTCAGCGTTAATTCCAGGCAGGCCAACTGCGAATGTGCCGCGTTTCTTTCTGCTAATTGCCGTTGCGCCTGACCTAGCAAATCCTTGATAAGATCCTCTAATTGTTGCTTCGCGCCGTGCAGCGTGGATGCCAGCTCCTGAAGCTGAGTCAACGTGGCACAGTCTTCTCGGAGATGGTCTACTTCGCGGGCCATTCGCCTCAAATTTTCATCTTTGGCTATGGAAAGCAACGTTTATTTTTAGTCGGTCGATTAGTCTATTTTCTACTCGGCAGTCTAGAAATTTCTTTCGTGGTACCTTTCATAACTTCTAGGTCGTCCAGCGGTATTCTCATTAACATTTTGTACTTATTTGCTTCCAGTAGGCCAACCAGACTATTTGGACAGGAACTTCTGACAGAGAACGAATGCATATGTAGAAAGCTATAAAATATCGCGTGTATTCGGTTTATATAAAAGAGATTTCTCAGATACTTTGTCTTTAGGGATCTTTAGGGCTAGAGTATAATTGGGATAAGCTCGAGGATTAATCGATAAAGTACGCGATGTTGGTATTTCCAGAATAATTCGCGAAAATTCATCGAACACACTCACGTCGATGGTTTTCTGATGGTTCCGCTTCTCCTCTTGATGCTGGTGATAACAAGCAGATCGGAAAACAAAAATAGCGCGCGTTCCTTCCTGGTTCCTTGATTCGAGGCTATGGTGACCAGATCGTGGCGGACGAATGCTCTGCATCAGAAAATAGACGCGTCAATTCGGATGAATCTTTTTGTTTTCATAGCAATTTCTACCGCGACACGCATCGGTATTGGGAATCGATACGGCGTGCACGCTTAAAGACTGAATAGTTCATGAAATGAAGAAGCGAGTACAACGTTTTACGCCCAGCTATTCGACGAAGGCTTTATTCCCCGTTAAACTCCGCTCGACCTTTTTCCTCGTCATTTTCTCACGGATCGTGTAAAAATACGAGATTATAGTGGATGTCTAAATTACGAAAACTCGTTTCAGAAGCTTCCATTTTTGTCCAATTATTTCTTCTAATCTCATCCTATTATTTATAAATATACACGTTTCATCTTTTACTCTTCTTGGAAAAATACCAAATCCTATTATATATATTTTAAATTATTTCTATTTAAAATATATATATTTAAAATATTAAATTAATAAATTATATGTATTTAAAATATATTTTAAATTATTTTCTAAATCCAATCTGACGCAATATCTTTTATCGTGTCAGCAATACGTCTCTCTACTCCCATATTTTCGTGTTTTCCTAAAAGCTTCAAGCTTCTATACTCTCCAGGTATCTAATATTTTCTATTTTAAATTTCCGTTCCTCTCAACCGATACCATCGCGGAAATTCCTCTGGTTCACCCAATTTTTCAGCGAATCGATTAGTCGTGATAAACGAAAACAAGTTCACCTATCGTTGGTCACGATACCAGCTAGTCCTTCGACGAGTGCCTGAACCTCCCTCAACGTAGTTTGCTGTTGCTCCCACTCGAGGGACTCCCTTTCCGTGCAATTGATCTTTACGACCAACTCGTGCACCTCCTTCTGAGCAGCTTGGAGCAGCTCGAAATCCGGATGCGTGGAGTCGGTGTGCTTCAGCAGCCTCTGGATCAGCAGCTCGTAACGGGGTATCTTCTGCACCGGTTTGATCAATAACTGATCCAGACCAAGTTTTCCTTTGTGCTCGCGTTCCATTGTCTGTCGCGCAAAGCACGATAATGTGAGAATTTCCGTTTACGATCCAAGTAAAGAGAAAGGGGTCTGCGACGTGGACAGCGTGAAATAAATTTCAGCGAAACGGAAGGAAGCGTTGGAAATGCAATATGGAGAAATATTCCGATTAGATATTCTCTGGGCGAGATTGTCAAGTTAGTTTTGGCTGCATTGAGGAATTAGCGCGAGCAAAGAGGTGGAAAACGTAACGAAATTAAGACGAAGCTGCTGTTCCACAATGAGGAGGATAAAAATGCTAATTGGCAGAGGGAAAATGAAGAAGAATGCGCCGCATATATACCTCGAGGAATCGCGCGAAAGCCGGTTTCGCTTGACAAGTCGTTTTTATCGCCTTCCTCGCGGACTTCCAATTATCAAGGAAGAGGGTGTACGTCTCCAGGACGACTGGCTTGGTGAACTACAGAAAAGGCGAATAATGAATAATAAACAGAGCTACGGTTTAACATCGATATCGGATTAAAGTGGTCTCTGCACTGGGTTGGACAGAAAACTTGTAACAAAACTTAAGAAAGGTTTAAAGATACTATATTCTTATAGAATTGACGTCTTATTAAGTTATATATATCATCATTTTAAAAAAGACCTCGTCAGAAATAAATTCATTAAGATCGTTACAAGATTCTGGTATATTCAGTTCCTTCTAGTGTAAAAGTTTTCCGAAGCGAGATATCTGAGAAAGAGGGCTATAAAAAGCTTCCTACAACGCTTCTTCGAGTTCGTCTCTTCGTCGATATACAGGCTTCAATTAATTTTCCTCTTCAATTGCAGTATTTCATTTCGCGATTCGGTATTTAGACATTTGTCAGAAGCTCGAAATGAACAGCCCTCTTCGAATAGAATAAACTGAATAAATAGAGCAACCCGATATAACGAATATTAAAATAGTTACCAAGAAACTAAGTATAATTAAAATAAGCTATTGTGCAAAATATATAATATAGATCTAAAAGTAGAATTAGACAAAAGGATCGAGTGTTCGATAAGGAAACGTACCACATCGAGGAAAACATCGCCAATCGTCTGCTGAATCTCCCAAGTGTCCAGTCTTTTACGTAATTCCTCCAAGAACACTTCGTGATGGTTGAGAATAGAGGGAATCTGAAACACGTGCAAATTCTCCTTTCATGACTTACTCCAGTCTCCCTAAACAGGGCTCTACTGATCTTCGCTCTGTCTAAAAATCTGCGAATGTGAAATAAATCACGAGGACGAAATACTTCTTATTGATCGAAGATATATTACTCGAATATCATCGCACGGTGAAAGAGAATTTCCCGAAAATTTGAACCGAGAACATCTACATGTAAATGGCGGGTTATGCAAAATGTTAAAGTTCGAAGACAGAAACGAGGACAGCACCCATCGAACCCCAGATATTCGATTTTAACGAAGTTTCAGTTGGTTCTAAAACGTGACTGTCGTTTGCACAAACCACGTCTCGCGTAATCTCATTCCTCTCCATAGAACGATAATAAACGTTTATTATCGCATAATTAGGAATACAACGCTACGTTTGCAGTACCGGTAATTGCACGCTTCGCGTTGTAATGTTTAATAACAAAGTACCGTATGCCTGTTTCGTTATACCGTAACATCGTATTAGCTCTCTGTTTCGCGTTCACGTTGCGGCTATTAAGAAATAATTAACAATTGTTCCTTCCGTCAGGAAGATCGGGAGTCAAAGGTTGGAAAGCGCACGCCTGTCTGACGGTTCAACAAGTTAATTGGAAAGTCGTGGTAGCCAAACATCGATCGCGCAAACCGTGTTAAAGGAATTCACGCGAACAGATTTCACTTTCATTTAGCTTCTTTTATCGCCTGGATGTTTGTACACTCGCGCGAATTTCGAGGAATTTATGCCGAGTAGAATGGCACGTATATGGTCAGACACGCGAATATCGTATTCGGTAATTCCTGCATCGATTTTCTCGACGCGAGTCGAAATTATCTCAATTTCGACGATTGTACATGTATATGCTGTGACCTTTTCCCTTCGAATATCGACTGTCGAATATAGAATATTTTATTAATATCGATATACATCAAAAATTAGCAGAATATTTTCATTTATTTTTTAGCCCGCCGATTTAGAAATTTTGGTGAATTTTTTAATCCTATCTCATGAATTTTGAACTCGAAAGAAGGCTGTCTAAGTTCCTACGAATTTTTCATCATAATACAATTTACTATTTCCAGAACAAGATGGCGACAGCTAGAGAGCACGATAATAAAACCCGCTTCTGTAAATTAAATTTAAATCGTTCGACTTGATCTCATTTATAAAAAGACACCGAATCCTTTATTTTATAAATAAATAGATTAATTTACCTGATAAAAGATCTCGTCCACCGTGGCTGAGTCCACCAAACCCGCATTTTCGGAGCTCTTCAGCGGTTGTAGATATTTCTGAAACAAATTCAAATTTCCATGAATTTTAATCCAAACACTGTTCCAATTATCTCCAAATAAAACCAACAACACAGCCAATCGATATTCCTCTCGATTCAGTGCTCAATCGAACTCGTAACCCAAACACAACCGGTCTCTTCGCCACAATTTCAGCCAATGGAAAAGCACGTCGATTAATCTCAAACACGCAAAGTACCAACACGTAGAATTAATCAAAAAGCAGTCGTATTTTCACCGTCGAAACCCTCCCAAAGATGTATCCAAGTTAAACATCCCCCACCTCTTCTGTTCTCCCTCTTTCTTCTTCCAGATTCGTAAATAAATGCGAATCAGCGCTGCAGCTATGCGATTCCCTGAATTCCGTTTCGCGAAAACGAACGACGCGATCGTGGAAATATTTTGCGTGCACGGGCCAGGGGGTGCAGAAAATGCACCCCAACGCCGCAATAGACGCGGACGCCACGCCGCGACTGAATTATCGCGTAATGTTCGCCGTTTTAACGCGAAATCGATTTTTATTCGGTTGATTTAACGCTGCCGGAAGAGAGGAATTTCGTGGACTTACGCAACGAAAATCTCGATTTCCAATGTGGAGAAATAACGGGTACCCTTGGTCGGGTTACGCCGAGACGCGTGGAGTGGAATGGTCGGAAAAGAAACGAGAGGATCGATCGAGGAAGCTCGGAGAACGTGATGAATTGGATCTAAGGTGCTTCACGGATGTTTAACTTTCGGAGAGTGGATAGCTGTGTTGAGGGTATTTTTAGCGACTCCTATGCTAATGGCTCTTGGATTAGGCCTGGATGAAAAGGTTTAATGGATTTTAATGTAATATACGACTGGCCGCTCTTTGATGGGAAAGTTTTATATGCGGAGCGGTGTTAGTGGCGAGAAGATGTTTATGGTGTATCACGAACACCGTGGTTGTACACCAAGTATCACAGTTTCAGAGGATTGTAATTTATTTATTAACGCTGGAAGTACCGAGCCAATCGAGATGACCGGTCTCGCAGTTTTGTTTTCGCTATTATTAAAAATATATATCTGCTTTTTGCGAAATTAATGTTGACTCATGTCAAGTTATATCATTAAATCGCCAGTTGTACCACTGAAATTACTATTATCTATGCGGCCAATTATATAATATGTTTAGGTACATATTAAAGTAATTCTAGTGTTAAGTGCGTTTGCAAGAAGCAATTTGCATATTTATGAGGAAAAAATGGACGAAAACGAACTTTATATATTCAAAAATATTGTACAACCTAACCAAACGCTAACGGGGAGTATTGATCTTGGGAACGTTAAATGGTAATATCTTGAAAATAAAAATACGTGGCATACGGAATTTTTCTTCACAGCCATAAAATTACGAAGTGAAATAAAAGGACATATTATGTAAGATCCCAAGAATATTTCCTGTTGTGCAGTTACGTAGAAGTTAAGGCATACCGAGTATTACTTTTTAAGGAATTCATTATTCGAGCATCGATGGTATCAGGATTTCTTCAGTGCGCGTAATTAATCTTTGCGGTCTTCATAAAGTAAGTTCGGAATAAAATACCAGTGAGGACAATGGAGCTTAACTCTTTGAGCCTTTAGTATGCACGTCATACTGGCAATTCGAGATGCTCCAAATAAACAGTTTTCCGTGTAAGAGGTTCCGATAGAATGATACATTGTAACAAGACGAATAAACAAGTCAAACGTATGGAAACAACTGCATTCCGCGTTCAATGGAAAGATATTTCATAAAAGTTACATTATCGATTGTAAAAGAAAATATCCACCGATGCAAAATTTCTGTTATTCCGTATACATTAAATTATTAAAAATATTTTCATATCATTTACGATAATCAATTTAAATAATTAAAAAAGGAGACGTTTTTTTATCATATTTAGTTACTCTAGCGAGCACTCAAGGAATCAATTACCGCTAACTTCGTTAATTCAGCGTAACTTCGTAAAGAGTTTAGAGAGAATATTACATGGAAACATCGCGATCGATTTTATTACAAAAAGTGATAAAACACGTTAAAAGCCAGCAACGTGAGAAATTAATATCGAAAGATCGTGCGAATTCTCCAAAGACACAGAACGCTTGGAAATCGTACGTAGTTGCAGGCAAACAGCGCAGCCATAATTTTAAACACGTGAATCCGCGCAAACATCGATTGCGATTCTTCAAAGTTTGCGTCGCGAGGATTTCCATCGAGAAACGTCTGACCAAACACTATTTTATTTCAAGAAAAATTCAAGGAAGACTCGTGCTTCTTCCTCTTCGACCTCAAAATTTCCAACTATTTTCGATGCACTAGTTGAAATAGGAAATGAAGAATTATTTAAACCGACAAAGAAATAGAGAAGACTAAATAACGTTCAAGAAGTAATCCAAGAAAGTGAAAAAATCCGGAATAAAAATGATCTTAACCCGTTTAGTATGTCTCGCGTTAACAACAGGACATGTCCATCGTCAGCTTGGTCCAGGGCATGAACAGGCATCGATTCGGCGATATTCGTAGTTTCATCGCGGTTTATTTGCGCTTTCTGATGGATACCTTTCTATTATTTTTCTAAGTCGAAGTGACGACATGAAAAACCGCTGGTCCAGTGGCGTAGCCAAACCCGAGGTCGTTGCTAAATAATCCCTCGGTTCGAACAACAATCATCGTGGGCCGTGCTGTTTATAAAATATGACAATCAAACGTTTTGAGATACGTTCGAGCGAAATTCGAATTCTTTTTGTGAATCGATGGAAAAAATCTCGCGATCAGAATCGTCTCCCGATTCTAACCTGAACGTTGCTAGCTTTCATATCCTCAAGAGGGTGACGAGTCTTCGATTTTCACCCCTGAGAGACGCGGAAACAGTGATCTCGGAGAAACACGTAGTGTAACTATACCTTTCTCGAATATTCGAGAAACATTTACCAAGTTGAGTTCAGCGTGGATTTTCCGAAAACCGTGTAGTCTTGTTTTGAAGGAGCAGCGAGGTTTAGTGCCGACGATGAATCGTTCGTTCTCTAAAAAAGAACGAGCACGCGCTCGTGTTTTGATTTCGACTGTTGTGATCGTTCGGCCGAAAATTGTGGCTACAGGTAGCACGTTAGCAACGAAATATATGCTGGAAGATTGTTTCACGTGGTAGCACAAAGTGAAACGTAGTTCTGGCTTCGAATTTCCGACTTGAATCGGCTATTATCGCATAATCGATAATTGTCGATGATCAACAAGGAGAATGCACGACCGATGGAATTAGACGAGATCCATTGAGTTCGGAACAGAGCATCTTCCGGTTTACGAATCTGCGTTTCCGAGACGGCATTGAAACGTGAATCACTCTGAATCAGCTATTCTCGCAGATATTCTACGACTTTTATCGTCGGTTTCAACCAGCGTCTGTTGTTCGCGAAAACTACGCGTGGAGGATCAGGCGTAATATTTGCAAATGGCGGACGGAAGATTCCTAGAACCGTTCGATTCGCTTTCTTCGACGTCCGATTAGCATTCAAAGAAGACGATTGATAAATGATTGATTTAAAAATCGGTCGTAATTATTTAACGAAAGAAAAATTCGCGCACATAGGATTGGAGCGGTTAGTATACTTGAAAATGGCGGACGGAAGAGTCCTAGAACCTTTCAATTCTTTTCCTTCGACGTCGGATCAGCACCCAAAGAACACTATTGGTAAAATGATCGATTTAAAAATCGGTCATAATTATTTAACGAAGAAGAAATTCACGCACACACGATTGGAGTGATTGATATACTTAAAAATGGCGGACGAAAGACTCCTAGAACCTTCAAATTCACTTTCTTCGACGTCAGATCAGCATTCAAAGAAGAAGATTGATAAATGATTAATCTAAAAATCGGTCATAATTATTTAACGAAAGAAAAATTCGCGCACATAGGATTGAAGTGGTTGGTTTACTTGAAAATGGCGGGCAGAAGATTCCTAGAACCTTTCAATTCACTTTCTTCAACGTCGGATCGGCATTCAAAGAAAACGATTGGTAAATGATCGATTTAAAAATGGGTTATAATTATTTAAAAAAAAAAAGAAAAATTTGCGCGCACGCGATTGGAGTGGTTGGTATACTTGAAAATGGCGGACGGGAAAATTCCTAGAACCTTTAGGTTCCCTTTCTTCAGCGTCGAATCAGTATCCCAGGAACACGATTCGCAAGTAACCGACAGAAAAATCGGTCGCAATTGTTTAACGAATAAAAAATTCGCGCACATGCGATCGGAACGGTCGGTTTATCCATTTGTCATGCATCGAAATAGATAATGTATTCAGTATGCGTGTGCGGCTGGGCACACGTTCCATCGTCAATTTCGTTTCGCGGCACGTGGACGATCGTTTGTTGCGATTTTCCAGTCTCGATTGACCGCGTGTATATGAAAAGAAAGAATTTAATAATCCTCGTGAAGCTGCCAGATAAATTTCTCCTCCCCTCTGCGTATAAACTGGGTCGCGGAAAATAAATAAATTGTCAGAAACCGAGCGTTGTTTCCGTTATTCGTCGCGATATTAACATTAAAATCGATCGTCGTGGCTCGATACGATGGAACTGTATTTTATTGCCCCTGCATCTGATAACGATACTCCAACCCCATTCGATCGGTCCACCGAATGCTGCAACAGGATTATTCTTCTTTCTTTCCTGCCTTTTTTACGAGAAACATCGTAAATATCTGGAACGTTCGCAGATATGCGTATGCGATTTGAAAATAGACGAGCGTTAAGACCGAATAACCAGAAACGATCGTATGAAGATTGAATTAAGATGCTGACATCTTGGAACGCGACCAACGGTAGAAAGGGTTCGTCGAGTGTCTGTTCCCTTAATAATGGATATTTAGTACGAATCCGTCGCAATGGAATATCTGTCCCGTTCATTCAACATGGAATGTTCAAATCGACATTCGCGTCGTGTTTCGAGACGCGAGGGTACAGAAACGAAATAAGGATGTTTCAAATGTGATCAGGAAGAATTTTTAAAAATGATCATTCCTCGGAACCATTTTACCAAAGAGTTCGATTTTACTTTCTCAGAATTTTCTTCGAGAAAAAAGTAGAAGAAAGACTGGTATCCGTATTGAAAATTCTACGATTCGACAGAAAAGGAATACCACAGAAGAATAGAAATTTTTAAATATCTCGCAACGATATTACCAAGCTAGAAAGGACAAAATAACGAACGAGGACAGCATAGAAATTCTGCGATATTCCCAACTAAAATAATAATCGCTTCCAGGAAAGGAAACGACGCTCCGTTCTCCATAGAACAAACAACGAAATTCCTTTTTCCATCGACCGCCTCGATCCTTCGTTCCACCTCGATCCACCCTTACTTATTCAATCAACGTAGAACTACCGGCGTAGAATCGATAGAGAGGAGAGGAGCAGGTTGAATATTCCAGCGAGCCTCCATTTTCCATCGCGATATTCATCGAAAGCCTGCGCAGCTTCTCAGAAATGTTCTGGTTGCATCGACATGGCGGTCGTAAAAGAGTGCCGCGACTGACATATCGATACGCGTAAATAAATCTGGGAATCACGTCTGCTGCCATCGAGGGTCGCCATTAAATTCAGAACACGCGCCTCTCGCAGGGTCGCGAAGGTTGTGCCCCATTTATGCGCCGATTCGCAGCGCTGTTTATGAGGAATCGTCCTTCCGTGATGGTATCGAGTCGCAGAGAGACGGCACGGTAATTACCACGGACTAATTGCGGGCATTATTTATCGATCCGGCAGCCTTCGATACGAATGCGAATACGGCGATGGAACTCGAAACACCGACGGCTTCTTTAAATGTCAAACGGCGAAGGGAACGACCGATTTCCTTCCACGATTTTCTTCCCTTCGTTGCCGAGTTTCGTGAAATGGCGTGAACTTTTTTATTCGGTACGCTGGGACGGAAAAATTCTGATAGCAGCGAACGAATGGTACGAGGAGACAAGGGTCGCGGTTGTAACGAGAACCGTTCCCTGTCGCGAAATATCGCTTCTTCGTGGAAATTTAATAAAACGAAACGTCATCTGTGTCTTTTCCGAACCTCTACCTTTGACCTTCCGGCCACAACCGACGCCCTTTTCGATGAAAGTGCATGCAAAGAATCGCCTCTTTCTGTTAGCCAACTAATTGGTCGCTTGTCTAGAGTCGTTAGTCTTGGCCATTTTTCTTCGACAGTTACCTAGTCGAAGTTACGCTTCCTCGTGGCAATTACTTTTTACCCCATGTATCATTTGTATTGACCTTTCTCGTCATCCTACACGTTTCACCTTCCGCAAGATTTTGCGAACACGATGGCCGTTCGTTTCGTTACGATCGAGAAGGAGAACGGAATGTTTGGAAGATCGGTAAGAATGTGGAATCTTCGAGGACAACTCGGTCGCAGAGACCCTTGGGTAATTCCGAGAATTTACCAGGAAACGTCCGTAATTCGGATGGCACGTTTAATGGAAACAACAAGCCGGAGATGCGAGACTGCATAACTTAACGAGAAGCTTTTCACGAAGTAGATCACTCGAGTGGAATCCTTGCTCGAACGGAGCAAATAAACGGGCAACGAGCTTGTTTACGAGAAACAAGGTCGCGGCTTCGATGTTCGAAGAACTTTCGAAAAGCACATCTCAGACGACGTGCAGGAAGATGCTCGCTGCAGGAAGAGGAAACGACGGAATCACAGTCGAGCGATCCACGATCCTTCCGACGTATTGTTCCGTATTTTATCACTGTTACATGGATATTTATATACTCGAGCGAAAGTTTCTAAAATAATTTTGGTAACCTTAACAACTGTCTAAGATTTCACGATTCTGTCACCTTCCTCCGGTGTTTCCTTATCGATGAGTTCTTCCTCCTTCATTTTGTCGCAGAAGCAATATTTTCCAAATATTTTTCAAATACGTTTTGAACGTTTCGTTCGATATCGACTATGCTTTTAGTCGTGTTCACGGGTGAATGTTTTTATTGTTACGTCCGGAATTAATGGACAGAATAGAAGGAAAATATTGGAACAAATGGACGCAAATCGAAAGCACAATCTCGAACCAAATTCCGACAGCGTGCTTTGTTATTTTGCGAGACGAAATTCCATCGATTTGTAAGTTTTATTAAAACACCGATCTACTCACATTGACTAGTATTTGCAGTGCTTCCACGTACGACCGCTCCGTATCGTATAGCTCCACGACTACGTGAGTCCTCGTATCCTGTAAAAAAAGAAAAGACACGAAATTAACGATCGCAGCATTGAAGTAACACTCGGTGAACGTCGAGTTTGTTATTCATTAGAAGATAATACAAAAGATAATTGTATATACGATAAAATATAATGGTAAAATATTTGTCTTCTTTGTAAGAGAAGAACAAAGGGAATGGATACTGGTAAACATGCAAAAGTTCGTATTCGATATATATTTCCTGGAATAATACAAGAGGTATTTGAAATACAAATGTTCCACGAGCCACTCGGATCTGAGTAAACCTTGTCTGAAATTAAAATAAAAAGCGACGATTCGAAATAACGTTACAGCTTTTTATTCCTCGCGATCGTGTTAATTAGAGTTAATCGAAACATCGGCTTATTCGAACTTTCGTTATTTCCTTAACTCATTGAAGGAATAATACCTGGAACATTCTCGATAACATTTACATTCCATTCGATCCAACGATGAATGCAATTATGATTATGCAAAGAATATCTCGTTTATTCAGCGAACGCGGTGGAAATTAATAAGCGAGCTTCCAAAAACAAATATTTTAATTAGGAGATCACGTCGTCAAAAAGTTTGTCATGTACCGACATGTGACACGATTAAAAATTAAAAAAGCGGACTTTATTTGAATTCGTGAAAATTCTTGACTACTGCCAGGAACTGGAAGAAGCATAAAATCTTGGGAACAAAGAATTTTAGGCTGTTAAAATTTGGTATGAGCCTACTTCCAGGTACAGGTCTTGTCAAATAGGAATTAAAAGCATTTCAACGTTTCGTCATCATTGCGGCTAGCTTCTTCGTGGATCGATATCAGTAAATCATTTGACCCTGCAAGAAAATTGAATCAAATGTCACTGACATTGGCAACTGAAGAAGTCAACTATCACAATGACGAGTCTAAGTGAGATGAAGTATGTAACTTCTATTTAACAAGATTTTATAACAGAAATTTAACGTGCGTGCTTTATAATTGGCGCAAAATTAATTTGCAATATAATTAAAGGAAAATTGCACGTCGAAGTGAAACAACAAGTCTCGAAATAAAATCTAGGATGCTTAGTACCACTATCTTAGGGAGTCTGTCTAAAAAAGAGGTTAAGAGGCTGGAGAAAGCGGACCTTGACAATGAATAATTCCCCAGCAATCTCCATAAAATCAAATTATTTACACGGTGCTTCTATTACATAGCTTCTTCATCTTGCGAACAGTGAAATAAAAAATGTCGCAAAAATTCTACCGATCATTTTGTCATCGAGACAAGCCAAATTTTTCACGTTAATTCTTCGACTCGTTTCGAATAGCCGTCTCGAACAATCAGCTGTTGGAAAAACAACAGAGCTCCAAATTGATCCCATTGTCCCGTGATAAAGATCGCACGTGCCCACGTATCATGCGAGCACGTGCGGCCGCTCACGTGTTTATCGACATCGTCATAATACTGATTACGAGAAAAACTATTCCTGATTGCATAACGTGCAAGACGCAACAGATAATCTTACGACCTGGACCCAGACAATTGCCTCGCGATTGGCTACTGTGACATAAACACCGTCGACCCAGGTGTTCATCTTCGCCTTCCAAATACGTCTTTCTCGCCTTTCAAACGTGTCTTTGCAACACTTTCAGCGGATCACAGAGAAAAGACTCTGAGATTACAGGAAAATTACGCGTGATCTGCACTGCATCTGTCGATGCTTTAGAAGAAAAAAAAGAAAAGAAAAATGGCAACACTTAACACGTTGATCATGATATCAGGTTAAATTTCCAGAAATAAGGAAATTTATTTAAAATATAAAATGTCGAACGTCGATCGAGTGCTAAAAATTCCGAAAAGTCAAGGAAACGAAGTTAATTACTTCAGCCTGCGGATAGCTATTGCGTCTATCAAGTGTCTGGGCTAAAAGGTCGACGAAAAACTACGGTGTCCGTAATTCATTAAAATTCTACGTCGCAAAGACAATTTCCCATTAAAAGCTAAGCAGATAATGAAACTGCACGTGTCTCCTTTCGCAAAGTAATTCCATCGAATTCCTCGGCGAGTGCCTTTGCTACGTATCTCCGCAAAAACGAACCCTTGTACAAACAAACTTCGCTCCATTGTGTTCGACTTATTTCCCGGCAGAAAAAAAGAGACGAAAGAAAAAGAAAAAAGAAAAAAAAAGGAAAGAAAGGAGGAAAGGAAAGAAACAAAAATTCCTTTCCTCTCCCGCCGCGATACAGATTATACAACTTCCTACGCATCTGCCATGAAACAACCAATAAAGCGCAATTTCATAGAGGCAGGAAACGAGGCAGATGGAACGGCAAACACGGTTTTTCGAGGCGTGTATTAACCAGTTTGCCCGGCAAATTCCGCATTCGCGCGGAATAATCGATGTCAAATGAATGAAAAAGGCAGGAAAGGAATGGAAGAAAGGAGAAGAAACGCGCGTGTATTCGTGTCGGTGGAAACAACGCAACGATGGCCACGGTGCGTGGGGATGGCGCCGTTGTGTGTGCACGTATAGGTGGTTGGGATTCGTGTAAGCATGAAAAGGAAAGCTACCCACGCGGTCTGTGCTGACACGCTCGTTATTTTCGCTGTCCACCGACGGCTGGCTGATGAGCTTGCGATCAGCGTTCATCGTCATCCTCTTCTACTTGCCGACACAGGTCCCTTCGACAGTCGGTTTAAGCTCTCTAATCGCGTATCAATCCGGCTCCCCGCATCCAAGTCCCATGTCGGTTGTTCGGCGATCGTTCACCACGCTTCCCGATCCGCGACTACGAGTTCGTCTAATTAGCCAGACTTTCTCTGTCGGCGGGTCTAATGATCCGGAGGATCAGGCGCGGGCATGGTCTCGTTCGCTGCCTTTCGAAAATGTTTGCTCCTGTTAATGGCTTTGACTCGGTTTAGAGGCACAGAGTTTTCTGATTATCTGAAGGATGAAAGAAGAGACCGCTGTCAGGGCTAAGAGAGAAACCTGCTCACCCTCCGGCTTTCGAATTTATTATTTTAATTAACCCTCGATTGGTACCGCCTGTTATTCGGCTACACGAATCTTTGCAAGAGACTGCTTGAAGCTATCAAAGAGAAGAAACAAGAACTTATTTAGGTACTCTATGGATGTCACGAGAATTATAGATTCGATGGCTTGCAATTTCTTTGCTAGGTATTTTGTCGATAGACTAGATGTTGAAAACCTAATTTTTATTGACGTCTTTTTTGGTTGTTATTTCGTACGAATCGTGGTACTATTATAAAGAAAGGTTAGGTACCGACTGGATTTGAGTACAGTTCAGAATGGGTTTTTGGAAATACCGTGTAAAGTAGATAGATCTTCTTTGGTTAAACTTTCGTTATTTGTCGACTACCTGGCCCTGCGAGGATCACACTGACGATGAAACCGAGGATCATACCCGGGACCCGTTTACCTAGGCACTTATGCTCCACTAAAAATACCGTGTGCGAATCGTGTAAAAGTTATATCCGGTTACAAACGCGAAAGAGTTACAATATCGGAAAAAGCTAACGACGTGAGAAAAGGAGGTTTCCTTCGATCAGAAATTCACCCTTATCAGAGTGCACCGTTCATTTTATCCGCAGCCCCATTAATATTTTCTTAACGTGTGTCACGCCGATGGAGAAAATTACTGAAAAAGAATTAATCTCTGAAAAGTTACACCGTTGCAAACTCGAAGCTGAAATAGCCTCTTAAAGCGGAGAACTCCGGCTCGAAATTTCCTGATAATCGGGAACAAAATAATTTTAATACCTCGCGAGATAATACGAGAATGACGCAACGAGAATAACCATTTACGGTTATTACGCTATGGTGGAAATTTCACCACGATTATCCGAATATTCGTGAAACGTTAATCGATCGAATGGTGAACGAAAGCTGCCGGAGTCAGGTCGAGCTTTTCCGTTCCAGAGTGATTCAGCAGTGCCACTTTAAAAGCTCGGACCGTACGTCCGGCAAGTTTTGGCGTTTCCACGCAGAGCTTTCACACTTCGTGCTGGGATGATCATACGTCGAACACGTCGTGCATGTACCACCGTTCTTCCACGCCGCGTTATATTTAGCGAGCTGACTCAGGGCCCCCTCGTGAGCTTGCAAGCTCCCCTTTCTATCTTCCTCGCTCTCTAGCGCTTGTCCTTCTTCCCGCCGAGAAGCACGCCATTCCGTACGATTACCGAACCGATTACATTCGTGCGGACCCTAAGACCTGATTTTCGTGCCTTCGTCCAACCACCACGCGAATTCACCGTGCTTTTATCCATTTTCAAAACGAATTTCCTCGCCTCGAGATCGACGAAGATAAAATGGCACTACGAAAACCGTATAAAACTTGAAAGTCGAATTGGGAAAACTGTACTCGAAACAATTTCCTATCGTAAAATCGACATATTGCATATTTAAATATTTAATTACACCTGCGATGTAATTAGGATCGAGAATAAAATCGAGCAGCTAATAATTATCGTGCCTAGGTAAAACGCCACGACAGGAGTACGCGAGTCATGAATTATTTAATAAAACTTTTAACGATTCAAATAATTCTTACATCTCCCGATCGATTCCTCTATTCTTTGTTAACGTTAATTTCAATGTTTAAGTCACTCTGGAACCGACCACTGTGAACTTCGTTATCGTGTCGTTTGTGACAAGTGAAATGTAGAATTCCTCCGATACCCCTGATCAATAATTCAATAATACTGGCAAACTGGAGGAACGAAAGGTAGGG